ATTATTTTTCGAACAGAAGATATTGCAGATCCACCAATGCTACACTCTTGTTAATTATATCACAACATTTTCTTTCGTCTTCAGCATTGGTTTGTAGTAGAAATGAAATTCTCTGCGATTTTATTTACTGAGGATTTACGAAAGTTTCTGATAACGGTGTTTAAAATTTTACATAATAGTTAATATCAAAACTTCTACTGCATGAATACAAAGTAGAAGGCCTCGTTTTCATAATATATATACGTATAACAACTATAGCTTGAATGTAATTCGAAAATCCTTTTAGATTAAGTATTTGATATAGTGGCTATCCGCTGTGCAACATGAGCGCATTTTCTGAAACGTGTCTGGTTTTCTGACTGTATGTTCCAGAATGCTATGCATCCCATGTGACTACAGTCTAAATGATTCTATGAAGGCCATTTTGATTGATTTATGTAAGCACAGAATCACTAGCTCATATTTAATAAAAAAAATTCGAAATATCTCTTTCCTTTCATATTTTTATTTGATTTTGTCAGAACTTCTGATCAACCCTAGATAGTTATATTCCTCGAATTTTTAATTAATTATGACAAATACAATTTTCTTAGTACTTTTTTCAATAGCTGTTGTTCATGCGCTACTATTTTGCTTTTGTATGTTTTTACATCTGAACTGAAAAAGTAAGTAATCTGATTAACTTAACTTCGGCAAATTTAGATGGAAAGAAAACTTAATTTTAATAACTGAAATATATCTCCTATGATTATTTCAGTTTTAATTCGAGATAATTCCGTCTTTAACAAAGTCTACCATTGATTGAAGACAGAATAACAAACAGTCCTTCCCGAAAAGCTGTCACAAAACTTTCAAACAGGCTTCACAAAGTTCACAATATAGCATATCAGATGTGACATACACAGTGTCGAAAATGATTATTTATCATCAGTGAGCACAATTCAGAATCAGGATGTTGATTGAACATGTGTGTTCATCTTCAAATTCAAGCGTCATATTTTAACGTATTAATAATTTACTGGGCTTTCTTCTCTTCAAAGCTTTGCAGAATGAATGATTTTTTCTGTAATTCTACCCTTCTATATTGCTCCCTTCGTTATTATTAGACATGATTTTCACTATAAGAATCTAATCATTTTTATCGCTCGTCTAAAAATCACTCAAATACAATAGATAGAATCATCAATATTTATACGTAGAATCTCTGTAAATGATAGAGATAATAATTCTATTGAAGTATTCATTAAAGACTAGACTAGTTTGTTAGTTATCAAGAATCTTTTAAATTTAAATCGCAGCAGAACTCAGTCCTTTTGATTAAATCTATTGAATTAATGATCAATATATGAAGCAATATGTAATTCTTGCGCACTGTTCATTAACCTATATCTATCAATTTTTTAATATTCCTACCTTGTGGTTGAATTGGTGGCTTTGATACACTAAAATTAAAAAAAATTGGTCATGAAGTATTATTGCGTCTATGATAAAGTGTTACATAAGCATTGGTGGTGATGGTGATGGTGATGACTAAAAAAAAACCATGTGTACTGATAATTTGTCATCAATGTTAATGCTTACTTGTGGTACAAGTTCAATGAGTGGAAAGGGTGGCTGAATTTCTTTGAGTTGGATAATATAAAAATCTTCACCTTGACTGAGGGATGCCACAACTTTAAATTGTCTTGCAGCTGGAAGAAGAATTTCATCTTCAGCTTGATAGCAAGAATATTTTCGGATATCTTTGCCACTATCGCATTCAATCGTAAAGAATGTTCTTGGGCCTGTTTTACCCAAAAATAGTTCGTTCTGCAGTACATCAAGGGTGGTCGTACAAGAACTGAATCCCCACCAAACAAATATCTTTCCTTTCGGATGTTCTTTTCTGAGGTCTTGTTTAACACCGCGATAAACCGTTCGCGCCATTGACGGAAGGTGAGCCAGTGCAGTGAGAATCAATTTGAGAAAAAGAAACCAAGGTTCTAGTTTTTGCCGATTTTCATTTCGTAGCGTTTTATTTAAAACATGATAAAGACACTCGTCTTGCGGCTTCCATTCCATTGAGTAGAGAGTAATCGAGGCTGCTTCATCAATAGATAGTTTTCCGGGTGAAATCTCTGCACATTTCATTTTCGCAACATAGACTTTTCGTTTCACATCAGGTACATATTCAACAATGGGTTCTACAGCCTCTTCTAGTGTAACAAGAGGCTTTTTCTCATAGCCTTCTATAGGCATCAACATTCGACCAGATTCTCCCAATATATCAGAAAAACGTTGTGTATGCTGTTGTTCTTCAACATCATCGAATTTTGCAGCCATTTTTTAATTGAAAGCTAAGAAAACATAAATAATAGTGGTTGTCATGTCTGAATATACTTATTCTAAGAGAAGAGTAAGATTTTGTAATAAGAGATTTAAGTATAGTAATGATTTATAGATATAAAATATATTATTAAGACTACGGGTTGAACAGTTTTCATCTCAATCTTATTCCTTTTGAATAAATTTTGGCAGAAATTAAATGGTAGGTTATTTTAGAATTTAAGTAGACGCTGGTTTTAAAAATCGATTATAAGATCATGACAATGAAATAGAAGCTTGGGCAAACAAATACTAGTGTAAGTATAACTGATATTCTTAAGCTTTTACAATCATTTTATCATTTCCTAGGAAATGATGATCATTTCATTATTCGTGCAAGAATTCAGTAGAGTAAAACAATTTGATATCATATGGTACTTAATTGAGTTTCAAGATTCGCAACAAAATCCTTAACTTCATTTGATTTGTAAAGCTATGGTTCACCAGGAAACTATAATACTATGTTATTGTTAAGCCTATCTCTTTTTCTTTTCCTGTTATGTCTTAAGTGCAGTCTCCTTTTCTTTTCCTGTTATGTCTTAAGTGCAGTCTCCTGTATCAAGCCCCTTACAGATTCACACAATCTATATCGATCATCCCGGACTCTCTTTCTCACTTTAATTGTCTTAATTTGTTACCGAGAGAATTAATCACAAGTAGAATTTATTTCAAATCCATGGGATCCCTTATTTGAATTTGAATTTAAATGAAGCTGCAGTTGCTTGGTAACACTTCAAAAGCGAATAAAACTATGTTAGGACAGATAAATTTAAAATATACTCTACACAGTGTTTAAAAAGTTAAAAGCACTAAATCAAACCAAAAATAATAGAAGTAGTATCTTACACCCTACAGACGGGAAATGTGGAACAACAAATTCGAAAACTATGGTTAAAATGCTATAGCTCTATATATTCTAAGTTTCTCATAGTGAAACGAATATAAAATTCTAGGTTCTACTTTTCACTTCACTAAGGGTGTCAGTGTGCTTCGATTGATGAATGAAATAAGTTTATGGGCAGTTACTAGATGTTTTAATTATATTACATTCAAAAACTTTCTTTCGCTTCAGCAACGTTCCAAAATATTTACTCACTACACCCAAGTAATAGAAACTGTAGTATATTTCGAAGTTATAATATGTTATTGTAGATAAGAATTTTCGTGACTGATGCTGTTTACTTGTCTTTATAGAATAACTATACTTTCTGTTCTGTTTCTGTCTTTTTAAGCATCTTCTTTCGAATTGTTGGTAAATATACACCGAAGGAATAAAAAAAACTTCACCTAAGAATAGATAACGAATGATGATAAAGAAGAAAGAAAAACCCAAACGTGTTTGACAAAACTTATATCTAAAAGAGTAAATAGGCTGATATGCACTTAAAATATATGATGCACAAGCGATTATTCATGCATTGTATATTTCCCTTTTGTTTCTAAAGCATATTCAGAACTACGCATATTTTGAATATGTGAAAGAAATGAAATAAACCAATTCACATTATTTATTCTGTTAGTAATCCTAAACATTGAATTGAACTTCTTGAGAGAATTCTAACAACAACAGCCGTGTCAACAATATTCATCAACTATTTGGTCATAGAAACATGTTCTGAATTTTGATAGGCATATAAGAATATATCTTAAAGTAATGCAATAAAAACAACATTTCACACTCTAGCCCATATTTTCTGACAAGCGAATATTTAAATAGTATTTTCATGAGAAACGAAAATTCAACGGTAAAATTGCTTTCAAAATCGTTCAATCATAATTCAAAGTGTGAGTTAATTGTGTGTTACCACGATAAATTATCAAAATCTAGATATAGAAATTTGCTGGAGCCTACACAGATAACATGAGAGAGAAACATTAGTCAAAAATTTTGGACTCATTTCAAAAAAATATGATTACATCTTTCGTTTAACTTAGAGTTCCAATTTATAATCTCAATAGATAAATCATCAGTGCAAATCATATCTATTAAACATTCTTGTAATACAACATTAAACATAAGTGAACAATTAGCTCTGGATTCATGTTGAATTAGTAGCGTCGGACTTGAAAATTCTAGCTCATAAGCCTGAATAAATTCTTAATCTTTGCATGAAATTGTTGACACACTCGGTGTAAATCAAAGATTTTCATCAAAATATATTCAACGTCATGGGTGGTGTAAAAATGCTTGATGGAATGAATTGGAGTGCAATGTTTCCACAAAAATCACAATGTGTAAAAAAGACTGTTATTGCCTATTTTTGAGAATACCTTAAATATACATATAATTTATTCATCAGGATCACCCTCATCGAATCGCACACGTTTGGAAAACTGTATTACGTAAAGTCACTAACTGAAAATGTGAAGAACTGAATTTCCTCCATTAATTATATACTACATGGAACTAGAGAAATCACAAAGCATTAATTACACACTTAACTTGAACCAGTTATTTTCTCTAGAATCAAAAAGTTGATTAATTAAGGATTCTAATCTTTCAAAGAACTTTTCATTTGCTGAACACTTTATTGCATTTTGACAGAGAGCTCTTCTTTTCAAACTGTTATAGATCTCAGAACAATGATCTTTGTTCACCAAAAAAATCCACTAGAAAGTTTCTATATTATGATGTGCTACACTAGGAAACTAGTGACATCTTATATTTAAATATATATCGCTGTTAATTATTAATAATCAAAATAAGAATATTAGTTTGCGAATTTATTTGAATAGTTCCTTTTTTCATTCAATAAAAATAATAATAAAACGATTTCGGAGGCTAATAACTGAAAGAATTCGAATTTGATTGATAAACACAAACCAATTAAAATCGATGAGGCATCCTCATAGAAGAAAATTTCGAAATTTCTTTTCTCAAATAAGATTTTTTTTTCCTCCCGTATATAACAGTATGTAAAGAAGAAACGAATAGCAACATCGATATGTCTTTCTTGCTCTTTTCTTCACTCATTCTGTTTTTTGCACATTGGACGCACGGGCGCTGAGTATACAATATATATATATATGTAGTTTAGTACATGAAAGTTAATCACATTTTTTTCTAAACTTTTTTTTTCTATTTTTTACTGATTTAATATTTCAACTTCCTTTTTTTTAGTATTTATTCGTAGTACAAGCGACTTAATTCGTCCAGTTTATACCGATAAAAGCTAACTTAGATTTTATTGTTATTGTTATTATTCTTTTAACTGTTATATATATTTACTGATTAATTAGAAACTTAGCAGTTGTCTATTATATATTGGTATTGAACAGTGAGAATTCAACGATATATTGAAGTGTATTTAAAATGTATCGGTATTTTATGTTTATATAAACTGAATTAGGCCAATCAGATATCCAAAGTTAATTTCTAAATCTCTATCATATTTTCTATTAAATTTCATTAATGCAATCAATGAATACGGATCCACCAGCGTTTTACCCTAATGCACCAGGAGCACATCCTACAACAACGGGCATTTTCTTTTCGAATGGATTAGAACGTAAGTTTTTTCTCTATACAATTTATTATATGTTTTGTTTCTATTTAATTGTTGCAGATTTTTCCATGCCAAATTCAAATGGATATTCACAAGCGCAACATATGCCTTCACCAGTAAGAACTTCATGGATATTTGTTCTCTATTAAATATATAATATTTAGTTTTACAATCAACAAGTCCAGAATGTTTATGGACAACAACCAATTTACGTTAATCACTATTTACCAACAACTCCATATCATCCGAATGGCGCACGAGGACAGGTAAATTTTTCCAAAAAATATCTTCTAATGAAATTATTTTAAATTTTCTGCTCATAGAATGCACAATATGTTCCTCTTATTCGTCCATCGAATGAAAATTCTACTGGAGCACCAACTTTTATCCCAACAACAGGATATACACCATATGGTAATAGTAATATGCAACCAACATCACATATTTATTCTCAACAACCATTTTATCGTAAATTTAAAACTTGAAAATTGTTAAAAAAAAGACACGTGAACTTAATTTATTTCTCTAGGTTATTCTGTACCGCCACAATATGCATCACAAAATTTTTCACAACAAACTACAGCATCACAAATATCAAATCAAGTACAACCGCAATATTCTACAGCTAATACCCAACAACAAACGCAATCATCACAGACACATCAACCACAAACATCTCAACATTCATCAGTAAATTATTGATTTTACATTTTTATTTGAAAATATAATTTTTTTCTTTTTTAGAGCGATCCACCACATGGACTTTCATCTCAACCGTCACAATCAACAGGTAGAGCATTGACTTTAAATGTTATAAAGATAAAAATTTTTGTTTAGAAAAACGTCAGAGAAAGCCATTGCTCATTGTTGATCCTGTCTCACAAAAAGCTGTAGAAGTGAAAGCATCGAATCCAACGAATAATTCACCATCAACATCGATAGCACAAGATGATAATCGTCTCAATGATCCTACGGCAACTAATACAAAAGCAGCTGATGAACCAGAAAAAACACAAAAACGAGATGATTTTCGAAAACAGTTTGCTCTTCTATTAGATCAACACCCTTCAGCAGAAAAGGTATATACGAAGTGCAAAATTCTCATTCGGTACTGTTGGAAATTAGTAGCAGACACTTTCGTCATAACGAATGACGCCATTATATTCGTTCACTTCATTTTTGTTTTGTTTATTAGAATGCAAATCCATCATCTACCGATGATCAAAATGATGGAAACTCAACAGAAGAGAAACAAACAGAAGATGTTATATCACGAACACAAGATTCAACATTGAATCAATTATCGGAACCAGCTCAACCTGGCCATCCAGGTATTCCAATTCGAAGTATCAATGATGAGAAACCAAAAGTTCAAGATAATACTAAGCAAGAACGTAATGATTCTCAGAAACCACGTGAAACAAGTGAATCAATGGTAAATATTTTACTTTCTATATTTTTACACAAAATTTCATACAGACTGATGAAATTACTGCCGTTAGACTGAGGGAAAAGGTTAAATTTATCGAGTATTTTCTTTCCTATTACCCTTCGGGTAAAAGTGTATTGTTATTATGATTCATCGTCGGCTTTTTTTTATCTTTTCTGTCAGAGAAAATGGCTTGTCGATAGACTTATCACATAGTAGTCAACATCTATATTGTGCAATAACAGCCAGTAATTCGTTTGTAAACAAGGGTAGATAAAACTATATATAAGGGTTTTTTTCTTCCGAAATATGTATTGAAGTCGGATAAAAAATTTTCATCATGGTGCTAAAAAACAAAAAAAATTCAAAAAGAAAACATCGCTTTGTAAATTTTCGGGTAAATTTCATTTTAAATGATAAATCGGGGTTAATCAATGAAAATAACATTTTATTTCTACTGTTATATTTTTAGTCTGAAGACACTACTGATAATGTAGTAATTGTGAATAGTGATGAAAAAATTTCATCTGATGATTCAACTACAAAAGATCAATCTCAACCAATACCATCCTTATCGAATATCGAACCTGTAGAATGTGCAACATTACCATCACCATCAGTGGAAACACCAGTATCATCAAATAATACAGAATCTGAACTAGTAAATGCTGTAAGATCACTCGCATTAGTATCAAGACATAGTTATACCAAACAAGAACTTCTTAGTAAACGATTATATCCTAGTGCACAAAAGCGTCCATTAGGTCTCAGAGCAATCGATGGTGTTACTGATCCGCCAACAGCTCGTCTTATTACACATAGTATTACGAGAGGAACACATATACCATTAGATAAACCCGAATTACAGAATCGAAGTGAAAAACCATATATACCAGCTGTTCGAAATAAAATTGAATCGAACGAAAAATTTCTTCGCGATATTACTGCAATATTAAACAAAGTGACACCACAAACTTATGAGAAACTATTGAAACAACTTGATGAACTTGAACTTGATCGTTACGAAAGATTGGATGGAATGATTACAATTATTTTTGCTAAAGCTGTCGATGAACGATCATTTTGTTTTCTTTATGCTAAATTATGTCAATATTTTCAAAAAAAACAAATTACTGTTCCTGATGAAACGGGAAACAAAGTAACGCATAGCTTTCGACAATTATTATTAACACGATGTCAAAAAGAATTTGAAAATGATTATCGTCAAGAAATCGGATATGAAAAAAAGAAAATCGACGTCGACGCTATTACAGATGAAAAACTTCAAAAAGAAGAATCTGAAAAATTAGAAGAAAATTTATCTAAAGCTAAACGAAAAAAATTAGGCAATATTTTGTAAGTACAATTAAGTAAATATATTCTATTTAAAAGAAAACTATCGAATCTTATCAATTAAACAGTCACGATTGAATTAGTTGTAGATAATTAACGAACCATGAAATGAAAGCATGAAAAATCAGATTCGATTCTTCAAAAAATAAAAATTTACCTGTATATAAATTTCATTTTCTATTTTAGTTTTATTGGTGAATTATTCAAATTGCAAATGTTAACAGATTTAATCATGTACGATTGTATTGATTATTTACTTCGGGATAAAACTGATGAAGAAAGTCTTGAATGTTTATGTAAACTTTTAAATACAATTGGCAAAGAACTTGATCTGAAAACAAGTGATAAGGTATGTTCAATTGATGAAAAAACAAAATTTATTTTTCTTCTTTCTTTTTTCTTTTATGTTCTTCAGAAAGTAAGTGATAAAAATAATCGTTTTGCACTCGTTTGATATATGTAGCATAACTTACTAATCATTTTTATTTTGCTCTTCTGGATTTATACATTATCAAAATTTATAAATCTATTCTTTTCAGGCGGCAGCAAATCGAAAAATTTTGGAAAAAAATTACACTGACCTTTTTAATATTACGACACATCGACAAACATCAGCTCGCTTACGATTTATGATACAAGATGTTATGGATTTAAGAAAAGTAATAGGAGCTTATAAATATATGTTGTATGCTAATATTATTTTATGTATCAATTAGGCTAATTGGGTTGCTCGTCGTGCTGAAGCAAAACCAACAACAATAGATGAAATTCATGAACAAGAACGATTGAAACGTGAACAACAAGAACGTGATCAAGAACGTGACAAGGCATTACGTCGAGAATCGAATCGAGGTGGTAATAATTCCTATGGACATAATTCACAACAGTATACGGGTGGACGTGGTAGTGGTATGAAGCAACAGTCGAATCGAACAGATGATGAACAAAGTGGAAATCGTTTTAATGTCAATTCAGTACGACAATTACAAAAGATTGATCGACGAAATGAAGGCCCATTAGTAAAACATATTTTCTAAAGTACAATTAAAATAATATATTCTGTGTTTTCATAGGCATTGAATTTAGCTCCACAGGGTGCATGGTCGAAAGGATCAGCAGTTGAAAAGAAACCTGAAAATGACCGTCCAAATCTTGCACGGTAAGAAATGCAAAACAAAAATAGATTCATAGAAAATCAATAATTATTTCATTTTTAGAAATTCGAAACCTCCTGCAGTTCCTGCTTCACAATCGCGATCTAAAACTGGTTATAATTTACAATCTCAATCATCTCGCGTAACAAAATCATTCTCTCATTGCCTATTTGTATTTTTATTTTGCTCTTTTTTTCTTTTTAAAGGAATTAATACGTGAAAATTCTACGGAATCATCACGAAAAACAAGTACTAGCGGAGTTGCTAGTCCAAATAATATCTCAATGGCAAACTCACGCGAAGGTTCACGTAATGTTAGTCGTGAACAATCGCGTGAAAAACCAAGTAGTGAACGTGCATCGTATGCTAATGCTACAGTATCATCAAATAAAGTATCTACGTTAGTAAACAATACTGATTCCTCCAAAACATCATTTGATGAAGAGAAAACTATTGCACATGTACATTCATTAATTGAAGAATATACAGAAAACTACTCGGATAATGATGAACGACCAATACAAGTAAGTTTACAGCATACTAAAAGTAGTTATGGAAGTCTTTGAACTTTTTGTTTATAGTAACTGTAAGGTTATCTCATCATTGTTTATATTCATTTATCAAATACAGAGGAATCACCCCTAGTTTGACTGAAACTGATACTATTCTATTTGAACAAATTATCCTTTAAATAATATCCAATAAGAAGAAAATGTTGAGACAACATATTTCTACCAGAAATAAAAATACTTTCTTAGATTCATTTTTTATATACTTTAAGCTAAGTATATTTCTATGTATATCTTGTTTTCTTAGGAGGCGCTTGATGATGTAATGGAGTTTTGTACGACAAATGTTGATCAACAAGCACTTATTGTTCGAGAATTATTCACAAATGTATTAGAAGCAAAACCAAGAGCACGTAAAGCTATTGGACATTTACTTGATGTCGTACTTCATAAAAATATCATATCTAATGATGGTTTTCTATCTGGGTATGAAATAATTTCATTGAATAATTCTTATTTGTTACATGTGACACTTATTTTAGCTTTAAAATGCTCACTGATTTAGTTCCAGATTATGCCGTAGATATTCCTCTTATTTGGCAATATATTGGTGAAATTCTTGGTGCATTTATTGGTGGTCCATCACCGAACATGTCATTATTGAAACCTATTTTACAAATGGTACCAGCTGAAAAAGCTCAACCGCTATTCAAATATATCATCAAATTTGCTATTGAAATTTCTGTAAGGAAACAAAAATAAATTTCATTCTATTTCTATTCAACATATTTTGTTTTAGTCAAAATCACGCATACAAAAATTTTGGCAATCATCCGGTTTTTCATTAAATGACTTATTTAAATCAGATTCTATCGATTCCATATTTACCAATGAATTCAATTGGTTATCGGAAATAATACCAGCAACAGCGCCACTAAAAGAAAATCGTGTACCACTTGCTGATGCACAATTGGTTAAATTATTTAAATCTGTTAATGATCAAAATACAGTAATTACTGATGGTGAAATTATAGAATATATTGAAACAGTACGTTCTGATTTTTGGAGTTCGTAAATAAAAAATTTTTTTCTGATCTTTTAGCATATGAATTCAGAAGACAAATTTTATATTCGTAATATTGTTTTATCTTACTTGGAAGCATGTTTAATAAATCGTGAACCACAAAAAAAGATTCAAGAAGATATTGCAAAAAACCGAATGACTGTTCTTAAGACCATTATTGAACACAGATCTGAAGCAGAAATTCAAGCCGTTTATGCTATACAAAATTTCGTTAATAAACTTGAACATCCACCAAGTAAGAATTTATTTTTATTCTAAAATAAATATTCTCATGATTCATTATACATGCATGTACGAAAAAAAAGTGTAGAATTTTAATGCATATGAGTAGTATTCATCTGAATTGTTACGAAACACTGATGATTTTATAATATGCCCGTATTTTCGAACGCTTCAGGGAACACCACTGATGTTAGCCATTACTAATTATGATAAGTCGTTGACGTCAAACGTTAGTAAACTAAAGCAGCCTATTTGTATATTGACATAGTGTTTTGTTTGTCTTTGACCACTGTCGTGACATATTATGATAAAAGAATATCCTGAATTTTTACCATAGTTCAATCTGAGATGACATCCGATTTAATTCAATTTTTTATTTTCTAGAAATGGCTCAATTGCTGTTTGATATTTTCTATGATGAAGAATGTGTAAGTGAAGATGCATTTTTTGAATGGCTTCGAAATCCAGATCAATCTGAAACTGAAGGTATAAAATACGAAAAAAGAATTTGTTTTTCTTATTCATACTATTAATTATATATTTCTTATTTAAAGGACATTCAGTTGTTGAAATATCGACAAAAGACTTTTTTACTTGGTTGGAACAAGCAGAAACTGAGTTGGAAGAAGGTGAAGAAGAAAGTTAATTCTAAATTATCATATTGATAACTTGTTGTTATTATTCTTTCTTTCATTTTTGTTTTTTGTTATTACCCAAAGTGGTTTGTTTTTGTCTGAGTCTGTTTATTTATTTTGTACTATCGAAACGTGAACCGAAACAAGCATATATACGAGTCTTCAACGCAAGCGATTCATGGTGGATTTTCGTTGTTTTGTTTTTTTTTCTTTTCAACTGTTATTCACTTTTTTTCTCGGTTTTTTTTACGTGTTCTGCTCTTTCATACAAAAACTCTGGCTGTGGCTCCGTTTTTTCGCTCTCTCAGATTGAAATATTCAAAGGATCTATTACGTTCTTTCTTTCTTTTTTGTTTGTTTGCGTGACTTTTCTTTTCCTGTCCTATTTATCAGATCCGGCTCTTATAACATATGATTTGTTTCTTTGTTTTTGCTTCATTACCGATAAATATGCTACAACTACTGCTGTGTTCTGAGTTGACTTAAGCTTTATCTTATAGAGCGTGTGCGTAACACACAAGAAAACAGTACTATTTGATTAGATCACTTTGTTGTTCTTCTCGGTGTACATTTTGTTTTTTCTCCTCATATAGGAACCTAATGCTGTTGTTCATATAATATATGCACACGTTGATAACTTATAAATCAAATTAAGTTCAAGTGTCTTTGTCTGTTTTGAGTAGAAAAAAAGCTCTTTTTTTAGGGAACAACTGTGTGTCGTCACTACGAGTGTTTTTGTCTTTGTCTTTTTTTGTTGAAACCATTATGTTTTGCACTTATTAAAACCGAGAAAAATAAGCACCTAATCTTGCAACAGTATTCTTCATCATTGTCTGTGTGATTATCACGTGTGTGTGTGTGTGTTTGTGCGTGTGTATGTGAAGTTCGTGGGTGACATTTTTTCCGTTACTTTTCTTTTTTTTTGTCTTGTCTTTCGTTGTACCCTTTTTCTTTTGCCTGTTCTTCTTTCATATTGTTTTTGGTTGATTGTTCTCTATTTACCAAACAATAAGAAAGAGAGATACACACAAATAATAGGATTTTAACAAAAAACAATCTAATTTTTCGCTTCGAAATTTTATGCTGATGTATTGTTTGATGAATTCAATTGAAAGAATCATAACAGCACAATCGTATTTGTAAAATAAATGAAGAGAAATCTCCATCGTCATGAAAAGATGAAAATGAAAAGAATTATATGTAAAACTTAGCATTAACAAATGCTCTCTTGTCTAGTACGACATTATATAAATCGTGCTGTGTTAAAGAAAAATACAGTAGTCTATCACTGAAGTAAATAACAAGATCATAAAAACTTTGATTACCTTCGAACTTTAAACTCAGACATCTATATACAACTTCTGTCAACAAAGCGTAAAATAAATTTCTTGTATTTTGATCGCATAGCAACGTAAGTTGTTTCTTCGAAAGCAATAAATTGAAACGTTTGTAATAGAGAGCAATTCATAAACGAGACAGCGTATTTTTTTTATGAATGTACGAATATTCATTGACCCTTAAAAGTCCTTAACAGAAAAATAAAACCATCGATTTTCGTTCTTGTAAAAACAAATTGTTTAAATATGGTAATCTTATGTCAGCGCAAGCCCTTTGTCCATCCTATCATTTTTAGTTACTAGTCGAAGTTAGTTGATTATATTTCATGGCTGTGTTCTTTTGGCTTTGTGAACGATGTCACTTCGAATATTCAAAAACATAGTGTCTATCAATACTGAAATTTCTAGACATCAATGATGTATTTTAGTCCATTTGAGTGTTTAATTTAAAATATCATTTCAACCAATGCAATAAAAATATGTTCGCCTTTAACAAAAACTAGCTAACCTAGTAACCTGATGAAACAATGAATGACCTGCTTTCGTTTTTAAGCAATATATCTCGCAATAGTTTGATTGATTTATTTGTTGTTGAAATCTAACGCAATAATAATATTACGATAACCATGTGTGTGGAAATCTATGTGAATGTCATAAGACATCAAGACAACACAGTTCGTGCTTTTTGCGTAGAATATAGTATTACACAGATACATGTTGTTTTTTTTGCGTTGTTGACTAACGTTTATTGGAAGTATTACGATGATGAGAAATGATCGAATCAGATATTGGACATTTTTTGTTGTTGCAAAAATTTTATTGCGCCTCTAATAAAGTCATTAATATAAGAACTATATAAAACTAAATCACCTTTTTTGTTGTTGAAAGAACAAAAACAATCGAATAAGATCAAGATTAAGTTAACAGCTTCATCATCTTTCTAAATTTTTTTATAATTGACATATATTCTAGTTAGAATCAAATTATTTTGATGCTTCATTTAGAAAAAATTGGGTATATAAGGTTTCATTATAATAAGACTGCTGATAGAATACTGCTTCTCATCATAACAACCAACTTTAAATAGAAAATTATCTGGATCATTTTGATTCATATCATAGTATTTTATACATTCTAACATGACATCGTTTTAATTTTAGGAGATATCAAAATTTTATGTTCAAGGGTTAACGTACAAGTTTATAAGTATATTACGACAAAATAAAATTTTCGCACGTTTTAGTAAGAATAATATTAGTTTTTTTGTATGTCATTACTGCAATAGGAATCATTCGTGTTCGGCAAAAATTGAGTTGGCGAGAACAAATACTTTTACTGCATGATTAGTCTATTTTACCTTCCTTGGATAAACAAACGGCTAATCATACAAGGTAAATGAATCTATCATGACCCGACATCTAATGAACCTATATAAGTGTAAATGATGATGACGATTACACAAAAAGAAATCATTGATTGGCTACTTTTTCATTGAATCTCTATCGCGACGACGCAGTAATTTAATGGCCAGATGAATCCCGATACAAAATCAGAACCATCAATACCAACAACAAAAACAATAAAACTAGTCTTCTTTTCTTATTTTTCTTCTTTTTCTTATTTTTCTTACATTCTTATCGAGAAAAAATTTGGTTATGTAAGGTATGCATGCATCACTGAAATGGAAAGGAGCAACGTTGGTAAAGAATAGAATGTGTACGTTAATCAAGTTATGTGTTGCTCTGTCACTTGAAGGAGGAGAACGAAAGAGACAAAAAAAACACAAAAGAAACATAAAGGGGTATGAACTTATCGCCAAGGATTTATATTGTATTATCGACATCAATAAATCATCATTGAATCCAAAGTCCAACTAAGCAAATAAAAAGAAAAACGATGTTCGATGACTTTTATCAATTGTAATGAAAACTTATTCAGCGAATATGTTCGTTTCACTGCTTACTATTGACCAAAAACAAACCGATAATTATGAAAATTTTTCTCAATCCTCTCATGTTACAACTGAACTTGATCCAGAACAAAGTACAACAACAGTTGTTGTAGATAAACCATCGAATTCAAATCGAAAAATAACATTGAATGAAGATGATACGCGTGAAACATGGACAAATAATTTTGATTATTTAATTACAACACTCGGCGGACTTATTGGACTTGGTAAGTGTTTGAAAATAAATTCTATGTTTATTTTAATAAATAAATATGAGTTTTTTTAAACAGAAGATTCGCATTTTTTTATTGTAAGAAATTTTAATTGTTAGAAGATCAAACGTAAGTGATATCTATGCGTACACATATGATAAAGAATGACAAGAAAAGAATGATTATATGTTTTAAAATAGTAACAATATTAATTTTTTTCTCTTAATCAATATTTCAGGTAGTCTCTATCGATTTCCCTATTTGGCATTTGAGAATGGTGGTGCTGCTTTTGTCATACCCTATGTACTTATCAGCGTCTTATGTGGCATACCATTACTCATCATGGAAACAGCACTCGGTCAATTTGCACGTAAAGGTCCAGTTGGTTGTTGGAATTTTGCACCAGCAATGCGTGGTATTGGTATTGCTTCTGTAATTATATCATTTTTTGGTGCTCTCTATTATGTTATGATTATGGTATGGGGTGGACTTTATCTTGTTCATTCATTTACTTCAATTGGTTCTCCGTTACCGTGGAGCGATGATGCAGGTACTTTACTTTTTTTTTGTATAAATTATGTTTTCATGTTTATTATTTTAAATATAATTAGGAGAGCTATCAATAAAAAATAATAAAACACAATTGGTTGGTTCAGTTCAACAATTTTGGAATACAACAATTTTAAATATATCAGAAGATTTAGATGGTTTATCAACATTACATTGGCCAAATGTAATCGTTTTAGCTGTTATGTGGACAATTATTTATTTATGTCTTTGGAAAGGTGTTAAATTAACAAGTCGGCTAGCTGTATTTACAGCTTTATTTCCTTATCTACCCATGGTTGCATTATTTATTCGTGGAATAACACTTGACGGAGCTTGGCATGGCTTAAAATATTATTTAATACCTGACGCACAACGTTTATTGAATAAAAAGGCTTGGATACAAGCTGCAGGTAAACTATTCATAAAAGAAAATCTTTAGTTTACATTAAACACACACAAAATCTATTTATTTAAGGACATGTACTCTGGGCATATGGTATTGGCTGGGGTATTATTCCAGCTTTATCAAGTTATAATCGCCCTGATTATAATTTCTATCGTGATATTGTTGTAACTGGATCGACAAGTATCTTAACAAATGTTTTTAGTGGTTTTGTTGTTTTTCCTGTTTTGGGTTTTATGAGTCACAAAGCAAATGTATCAGTTGAGCAAGTTGTATCTAGTGGACCTGGCCTAGCGTTTATTGTTTATCCAAAAGCTATTAGTCTTATGCCATTACCACATTTTTGGGCAATAACATTTTTTATTATGATTTTTCTACTTGGTATTGATTCACAGTTTGTGACATGTGAGAGTGGTAAGAGTAGAAAAAAAAACAAAATGAAAATATGATCTAAATTTCTTCGAACCATTATTCTCTATAGTACTAACAGGAACTCTTGATAAACTTGATCAATGGTACGATAAATATCCAAAACAACGAAAAATACGTCGTGAATATGTTGTTGCCATATATGTTCTTATATCATTTTCATTCGGTCTTTTAATGACAACTCGAGCTGGATTTTATATTTTTAATATATTTGATAGTTATGTTTGTGGTGCTATACCCTTATTAATTATTTGTATTGCACAATTGATCACAGTTCTTTTTGGATATAGAACAACATTCTCATCATGGTTTGAAAAATGGCCACCATCACAATGGCCTGGTCAAACATTTATTGCACATATCAGGTAAATCTATTATCATTTGAATGTAACAATTATGATATTTTCTTCTATCGTTTTCAGTGAAATTTTAAAACGTCGTTTAAAACATATTTGGTTCTGTTGGATATTTATTGTACCTATATGGCTTTTTGGTATGTTAGCAATTGCACTGCGTACAGTTGGCCTGATTACATATGAAAACTTTGTCTATCCATTGTCCTTTCAAATAATTGGTTATATGTTAACATCGCTTGCGCCATTTAGTATCTTTGCCTATTTCATTTATTATCAATTAAAACAAAACACATGAGAATATATTTCTATTATTCCACCAATCAGTTTGATACTGTTTCGAATGGGTCGGATCCCGAGCCATCGATAAACTGTCTATTACACTATTTATGTTCTTTTTTTTTGTACATTAAAATAAATGATAGATATCTACTTAGCAATGGTATATCTAACCTAAATTTAATGTTATACGGATTTATGATATCATAAAAAAATATGCATATGTATGTTGACCTTCAAATTATTTTTTATCACGTAGTGAATAATATTTTAATAGTAAAAACGCAAATATTTCATCGTCTGTAAACAGTTATACGACTTTTTCGATGAAAAAAATCATCTATGATCAAAGCTTTTCTTTAACACATCATTTGCAATATGATATCAACCGAATGTTGTTGAACATAATTCTCACATATTATACATAGAGACAATATGTACTGGTACACACAATTCATACCCAATGTTGCAGATTAGAAATAGTCGAATATGAAATTTATGCGTTTTCAGTGATTAAATAATCTTTATTGAGATTTAAATAATTTTCTTATTAGAATCAATGCATGCTACTTTCATGTTTTAATGCCTTTCGAACAATATAAACTATTAGTGGTTTTTAACTAATCTTCAGCATATTACTTCTAAAACATCGAGTAACAATTTAATCGATTCCAAATATTTCTGTACCTTACATTTTGCCTTATGAATTCGAATAAAGAAACTATAGCAGTATCACGAGTATGAGTGTTTTAAAGCGCAAGACACCATTGACAAGAACGATACAAATGTAAATCTTGAATATGAGACCACATTTCTATTTTTTATTTATCTGGTAAATTATCTTATTCGTCGGTCAGGATTATTTTATACAGACAACCTTTCTCTGGACATATTCAACATCATCATGTTCGTCTAAACGTATAGAGAAAGACGATTAGAATTATGCTAGACGAAAAATCCATATCAACATACTTGAACAAAATCGAAATCTTCGATGTTGAAATTTTGTTGATTCATTAGTGTTTAATTTAATGATTCTTTTGAGTTTTTTTTAATCGAAATGAACAATAATTAAATAAAAGAAATGAGAATAATTGGTAACAATAGAGATAATTTTTGTGCTCCCACTAAATGAACTAGCGTCGAAAATGGACGGAAAATTTTTATTGTGTTCGTAGCAAATGAATTTTAAGAGAAGATAGAGAATGAACCTAAGGTGACATTAATGTTCTATAATTTGCCAGTACGATATAATCATAATCTTATTGGAGAAAAAGAAAAAATTCAATGGATTTTTCTGCACCATTGATTCATTGAAATTTGAAATGACACATTAAGAAAAATCTCCGTTTTTGAAACACTATCATCTTGTTCTCAACAATGGTTAGTATAGCTCTAGCACTTACTTGCATGAAAAATCTAAGCATAGAATCTAAACGGTCATATGCTATCGAGAAAATAAACGAGCGTGTGGGTGTGGCTTTCAGGAGTCCTTTTACCTGCAGTCACACCGGCCCACCTCACACCCTTTTTAATGAAAAGGTAGTTGTTTTCAATAAAAACAACTTTAAGTTAGATTTAAAAAAAGCAGAACTAGATTTGTTACAAATATGTGTTTAACGGTTTAACAAAATTCATAATCCCAGGTGAATGAATCCGACAACGGATCTTATCGAATCCTATGGGATCCAACTCCCCGACAGAATCCAATAGGATTCCTGGACACTGACCTATTGTCGGCTCCGACGGAAAAAAATCATTTTCTTATTCACGATCAAGTAAGCATTTTGAGCCATCAGAGCGCAAGGATGACTCGTTAGAGTTGGATTCCGTTAAAATCCAACATCGGGTCCGATTGGATACAATATCAAGGATCTGACTGTAGGTCAGTGTCCAGGAATCCCATAAGATTTCATCGGTTTTACTGAAACACATAGGGTATTCGGTATATTCATTGTCTGGCCCTTGTCGGAATCCGATAGGATCCTACTGTCGGAATGATTCTCCTGGGATCTAGCAAATTTGTTCAAATTGAAAAAAACTTTTCCATCTTGACAAATGCATATTAAATGATACATAAAACAATAATTAAATTTTCTTAATTAAAAACTAGAAGATAAAAAACATCTGTTTAATAATAGGATATTATTTTTTCTTTATTAGCCTCACTATTTAGTTTCCATCAAATCAAGTGCAATATGAACAAAAATAAAGATAGAAAAAATATAAGAAAAATAACAAATAAAAGTCAATCTAAGATATTTCAATAAATCTTTTTGTTTTGTTCATTTAATCAACATAGGCTGAGTTCGAAATAATTTTAATATCAAAATCTGATAGTTGGCTTAAATTTCGTATTGCTTTCGATAATTCATGATAAGTTTTATTTGCGTTTATCATACGTTCCCATGATATTAATGACTCACTTACTTTACTCTCCTTGGATTTCGCTTTACAACGAATTCTCTTCATCTCACTTCTAAGATCGTCGTTTATCTGATAGGTGATAACATTTAATGCACAATATAAATCGAAATTTCGTACATAATCATAATAGAAATTTTCATCGGACTTCCGTATTAACAGTAAATATTTTTCTAAAAAATCGACACCAGCAAATATTGTTGTGCGTTCAACTGGTCATTTTTGTCTCATTTCATTCTCTGTGAATTTATAGACAAAACCAACGTCAATTAATCCTAAATTGTTATCATTACCAATTATCACAATTGGTGGACGAATGTCACGATGAATTATATTAATTTTATATAAAAACTTAACAATATCAATGAGCTGTATTGAATGAGCCAAATAAATGTTGAGAAGAAAAACATAAACTAAGAAAGTTTAAATATAAAATTCATTGAAAATAGCAAAAAATTCAATATTTTATTATAAATTTAATTTAATCGTTGAATGAAGTGAAACGAGAATAAATTGTTGTTTTTAAACAATGCCTTCTGTATACGTATATATATATATTCGATGCTCACCCCGGCGGGCGAGTCAAAGAATAAATACTCAATCAATAACAAGAGAGGCAATATATATGTGAAAGATTTTTTGATTAATAATTCTTACATAAAAACTTGTAACTTTTATTTTTATACCAGACAAAACCCAAAAAAATGCAGGCACAATCTATCCACTTTATTAAAGGTCAACAAAAAAGGTTCAATTTAATTTATTTTTGTTCAATCAAATGCCTAAATGGGTAAAGACAATTTTAAACGCCCGTGTAGAATGAAAGAAAATAAATATAAAGAAAGATTATTGTATTAAGAAGTGCTTTCGTTTGTTGCAGTTCTTCAACACATAATAATGTTGCAGCTGAATATGTGTACCATATACCTATCTTGAGGGTGTGTGTGTGTTAGAACAATTTTATTACCCACATCCACACCCAACTTCAAATAATACTCTGGTAGTTATGCTGGACAAACCTAAAAAATTGAGTATTGAAGTTGATCGAATAGTTGTTGTTATTTAATAAAAAAGATAATCGAACAAAACGTAACTTTTAAATTTTAACCCTCAATTATTTCATCTTTTTAAACTATCAGATTTTTCGATGATAATCATTTTTGTTCGTGTTCATCAAGTCTAGTCGTTGAATTGCGTCTTTCTCTGCGAAACTGACAGATTGGATTAGAATGTGTAAGTTCAAAGCGCTCCTAAAATAACAATTTATCAGATCTATTCACATTGTAATTCAACAAGATATTACTCGTAATCCTTAAATAAATCATTCATGAAACCTCGATGAGACGTTATCTATAAACGAAATCAAATTACGTTTTGAATAGAAAATAATTTGATAACACTGAATTCATCTTTCTAAGCTTGTTCAAGATATTCTGTACATTTTATTATATTCCGTAATGACAAAACATCTAATATTCAAATGAGATCAACAATTGCTACATAGACGATGTGTACACATGAAAATTGGCATGATTCTCGTAAACTCAGATTGCATAATCGGCAAATGTACGAACCATTGATAGTATGTCTATTTCTTGCGCTGAAATCAATTGTATTGAGAACGAATTCTATAAAGTAAAAATCTGATAAATTGATAATATTCAGCTACGGATTAACTGTCTATTAAAACAAATTCTAAAGAAACAAAAAATTACCTCTTCAGACCATCTTACGTTTGTGTTGTCGGGCGATTAGAATCTTTGATTCAGTCATGACTTTGCAAGTTAACGAAGGCACAAATATTGGAACAATACATCTTGAACTGGAAGAGAATTCCTGATTAGATTGTCAGGATCACTAATTATGGCTAGTCGATTCTTCATATCATGAATAGCATCGAGTACATATATAAAAAAAATACGTTTAAATACCCAATCATCAGAGAGAATGCAGAAGATCAAAAGAAGAATTAAGGATAAGGCCAAATATCATGCATACAGTGTACTCAAACGGGAGCGATACACTCGCGGGTGGGATTTGAACATTGTTCACATTGTATAACCTAACAAGAAAAGTTAAGTATGGCATAGAGCAATGAACTTGACTTAAACTCCTGTCACATGACAATGCATACGCGCTTTTTTCTCTATATAATCAATTAATGTTGTGTCATATTTAAGATGTTAATGACATCTACAGTGTGACGTTCACATCAAGAATATCATATCCTAATTTTCTTTAATATCTAAATTAATTTTTCTATTTAGAAAAATTTCATAATTCAAAATCTATACATTATGTGAATAGCGGGAGAAATTTTACTTCAAACAATTCCAACGCTGTTCAGTTCTTTGTTCATGTATGTCAATTTTTTCGTCGTTCTCTCTCGTTTCTTTTTACAGTAATTTATCCGAATTAATTCTTTTTGATCGTGATGTCATCGCCAATAGTTCATCTTCATAAAGCTCTATCAACTGAATCCCTTAACTTTCGACATGAAGCATCTCAGCACCGTCTAAGTTTACAACATATATTTAATTCATGTGTGCTTGACAAACACCAGCGTGTCCATGCTGGTGAACTTATACGACATTTTCGTTTCGTAGCTGAACAAAATGTAGAATTAGTATGTTTTTTTTTGCGATTGAATTTTCGTATTAACTTTAAACCATGTTTCTTTCAGTTAAGTGTTCAATTTGATTTCAATTTTCTATTAAACGAACTCGGTGGTTCCGATCAACAAGTGACATTTGATCAATTGTTTAATGCTGTTGAAAAGCTTTATTCTCAACTTATTGAGTAAGTGTTTGATTTCATTAAAAAAATTCAAATAAGATAAGATTAATCCTTCAGCGAATCAAGTGTAAGTACACCGGCATCAAAATCTATTTCATCAATGTCACTTAATGCATCATTATCATCTTTAAAAAGACGAAGGAATAAAGAAAATATTGACTTACACACAAGTGATGATGCATCATCGAGTCCATTTGATTCTCGAAAAAAATCAAATGATCATGAAAAGTGAGATATATTGCTTTTTCTTTCGAGTAACATTTCATATTATTTGTAGATGTAAAATTGAACGTTATGAATTACTCGAAATAAATCGTCGACAAACCGAATGCTTACGAATGCTTGAAGACGAATATAAAAAACTTGAAGATGATCATCAACATTTACAAATTCAATATGAAGGAATACAGAAGAAAAACCTTACGTATGTTTTAAATAGAAAAATGATTTTATTTGTTTTTTTTTTGTATTTTCTAGATTAGAGGATGATCTTAATCGTAGTTCACGTTACATAAATGAAAACGTTGATTTACATATATTTAAAAATAAATTAGAAATTTCTTATCGAGATTTAAAAGAAGAAAACCAAAGTTGTGAACGAGAAAAATTCGAACTTCAAGAACAATTAATTGATATGGAAACTCAATTGCAAATGATACGAAACGAACGTGATCACTACATGAATAGATTAATCGATGTGGAAGACGAATTAAAAAACGAATCCGTATAACTACTGACATTTTTCTTTGATAAATGCAGTTTCATAATTTTCTAGGATAGTCGTCAGCAATTTGAAGAGCATTGTAATTTGATGCAAAATCAATTAAAAGAAGTATTTGATAAAGATTCATACAAAACGATATATTTCTTTTTTTCGCTTTCTTAGAATGATCAAAGTATCAACGCTTTGCGTTCAGCGTTAGATGAATTAAATCTTTCACATGAGGTATGTCAAGAGCATATCTTGATTATTTGATTCTATGAATAAAATATTGTAGGATGCAAAACGAAAAAACGAAAATTTAGAAACAACGGTTGAAGAACTTCGCCAACAACTTCGAAAGTATGTATCAACATTCGATGTAATTGATATCAAAAATATTTTCCAATTGGTCTACTAGTGCCAAAACTGAATCGATTGAAGCTCGTTTATCATTATCGAATTTATGTGATGAAGAAAGTTTTCTATGCGATGAACTCGAAGAACGTGTTGATGTTTCACGTCGAGCAACTATATCCAATGGACAGTCACTCTTTGCCGAAATAAATACTATGGTAAATAAATATTTTTCGTTCATCACTATGAGATCACTTGCCGGTAATCAGTATGGATTTTCCAAAAATTTCATTAAATCCTAAGTTTGAATATCACAATTGAGTTGACTATTTATCAACGAGGTCATCTAGTGTGCGAATTGAGATTTTTTTCGAAAACGAAATAGTCGTGATGTTTGGTTTTATGTTACATAGAGTAATATTTCAAATGAATGTGTTTCGCAATGTCTTGATTCATCGAATATGGAAACAAGTGATGATATGGAAGTACAAATACTTTTATCGAAAACCGACAGTTTCAATTCAATACATCTAAAAGATGTTGTGAGTATTTGAACGAAAATTTTTTAATAACTTGACTTCTTCTTTGCTTAAATAGTTTCATGAGTTACATGTCAATGGTATGAATATTAATGAACATTTGATGATATTATTGAATAAGATTAACGGTGAACAAGACCGTGAATATATTGTAACCGCAACAAATTTAGTGGAGAAACATTTATTGGCAATAAAAAATTTAATTAAAAAAGTCATTGATAATAAAGATGTATTTGAAGGACGTTTTAGAAAACTGCAAACACTATTAATTGCAAGTCGAGGTAAAGATTTTGTATGCTGTTTGTTGGATTGAAAATAGTCCACTGGGTAATTTTTATTTAGAAAAACAAAGAAAATTTGAATCAGAATTAAATGAATTTTCGAATTCCATTCAATCAAACTTAACATCAGCAAATATCGTTTTCATATTAAAAGATTATCATAATGTGATCGAAGAGTTGAAACATAAAGAAAAAATATCCAATGAAAAAATAATCCGACTAGAAGAACAATTACTTCAACGAAAAGACGACAGATCAATCGAAAGCGTTAGTACAAAAGCAAAGTAATCGAAATGAAGTATTGTTTTGTGTTTCTATAAATATTGTTTTTCGATAATTTAGTTTGGCAGAAAAGCAAAAGCAAGTCGACGACACCGGTAAGGCATAGATTTTTTCAAATCGATTTCCAGTTTTAACTGTTGTTATTTAGCACTATTATCATTGAAAAAAATTCGTTCCCGAAACAATTTATCAGTAAGCTCTCTGATTTATTATATTAATAATATTGATTTTCTTTCATAGAATTTAACGGCTGGCATTTGCCCATTTCATTCTATTCGAGGTGAGTTTTTTGATTGATCTGATTCATTTCATCGCATTTTTATTCTATTAGAACTACTACGCGATGATTATGAATTATTTAATTCGACTTCATCATTATTACCATGTCGATGTTTAAATCGGTCACGTTCGAGCCCAACAATTACACAAACGCAGCCATCAATCGAACATATCCGACGTTTATCATCACCGTGTCCCTCGATACCAAGCGTAACGACTGTCCGCACTACAGACTCTGGTTTGAATACATCAACAAGTCGTTCGCCAACATCCGATCTACATGACGATATACCATCAATGGTTTTTCAGTTCGATTCAATATTTAATCAAACACTTACAACAGAAACGAATGGTTCGAAACAAAACGATAAAAAATCTTTTCGAAGCGTTGACCGATCCGTTAGTATTAAAAGTACACAATCCACACGAATAAAACGAGTTCTAAAAAAGTATGTAGAGCAGATGGTGATTTTTGTTATAAATATGAATCTTAATCTATGTTTAGACTGCAATGGTCTGCAATAATAACTAGTTGTTCAATAGTTTTATTTATTTGGAGTGTAATCGTACGTTACTACTTTTTAACATCACCGAATGATGATGATTGCAATCGATTATCATTTGCATGGTGGCCATTTGTCTATTGTTCAACAAATGGTATTACTCTTTAAAATTCTTTCCTATTTCTATATATATATATATCTTATCTTGAATTCAACGAGTATAAAATTTATCTATGTGTATGCTTATTCCTTTTTTTAACCTATAATCTGCATATATATATGTAAATGTATGTATATGTAATAGAATAAAGATAATCAATTATGCGCAAATTTTTTCTAATTAATATTGTAACGATCTGTATTTAAAGAAGTATAAGAAAATATATTTGACTAGGTTTTTCGTGCGAAAATCATGAACATGTTTATGAGCATAAATAAGCAATATCTTCTAATTTAAGACTGAATTTATCTACACAACCAGCTAAAACATCGCCAGCTAATTTCAATTTTCGTTCTTGTAAATTGCTAATTCGTTCTTCAATTGTATTTTTCACCATCAATCGATAAATATGTACATTTTTTCGTTGGCCAACTACGCAAATAGTACAAAACAAAAACAATAGTAATCATATTTCCAATACGTATATTCAATTACTTCGATATATTCGATCACATGCTTGCTGTTCGTTTTGTGGATTGTAGGACAATTCACATAAGAACAGATGATTACCACCAACAAGATTAAGACCTTCTCCACCCGCTTTCAATGATAAAAGAAGAACCTAAATTTAAAAAATAAATAAATAGATGTTTTAACTTTAATGAAGATAATTTCACCATGTATTTCTTTTCATCACTATTAAATGCTTGTACAACCGCTTGCCGATCAGATATTTTGATTTCACCACTAATGGTTAGAGAACGTATAAGATTTCGTTTTAAATGATGTCGAACAATATTGAGCATTCCTACCCAGGAGGATACAACAACACCTATCGTTACAACAAAGAAAATAAGAACATTCGTCTACATCGAAAATCAAGTTGTTTCTGTATTCTAGACGAAAATTTTTCTATCGATTAACAAATATATTATGTTCGCAAGATATTTAAAGAAACTGTATATAAAAATATGGATCTGTAGCTTTCTATAGAAGAAATAATAAAACTATACATTTTTCTTCTCGTTGATTGACAATCATATCTATTTTCTTTAAAAGACAATCTAATTTTGTGCTCATAAATGCAATATCATATTGAAGTTCAGCATCTTTTGCCAACGATTGAATACTTTTATCATTTAATGTATCACTTATATCTAATTTAAACATGGATAATTCTAATGCTACATCGTCTTTATCATCGAATACATCATCCGTCGACAAATCTTTCACTAATGATAAATGATTACATGCTTGGCGTAATTTTAACCTAAAAACAAAAATGTATCGATCAAAACACAATATAATTTTCTACTAAAATCTAATTATTTACATTAATGTAAAAAGAACGACTGTATTTGTTTTCTTTTTTTCCCGTCGATTTCGAATGAATAATTTATATGCATCGGTCATTTCTATTCTAATATGTTGATAATGTTTCATTTCTTCATCAGATAATTTCAACCAAATATCTTCTATTTGTTTCGATGGTAACGGTACAAGCAGTTTTCCATTTAAATCATAATCAGTTTTCGTTCGTCGAAGTATCAATGAGCGTACAATTGTCTTCATGCGTTCAATGGATTTATATTGATTCGATGAAAATAATTTCCACGTTGAATAAACATCGAATGGTGAATAATGAAGAAAATGAAGAAGTGAATAGAAATCATCTGCTTTATTATGTATTGGCGTTCCTGTTAATCCCCAACGATAGATAGCATCGATTGCTGTACACGCTTGAGATGTTTGCGACTTATGTGAACGTATTCGATGAGCTTCATCGAGAACAACACGTTGCCATTTTACAGCAAATAATGGATTCTAAAATTATAATGACATTTTCATTGTAAAATGACACTAGAATTATCTACTTTGCATTCATCGGAAGATGTATACTCGGCTCGTACTAATTCATAGGATGTAAGTACAACGCAATATTGTCCAAAAGCACGAATAGCACCACCGGTTGGAATATCTTTTTTACGTGATGATCCATGATAGATGAAACATCGCATACGACTAAATTTAGTTATTTCAGTTTCCCAATGACTCATGAGAGTAGCTGGACAAATAACAAGTGTTGTTGGAATAGCGCGAATTTTGGAAGTATCGAATACTTGTTCGGTAGATTCTGATTTTATTGAATTCATTCGAAGTTGAAGAAACGCAATCGTAGTTACAGTTTTACCAAGTCTGAGAAGAGAAGAAGAAGAAAACAAAAGTCTTATCGTCCAATAATTTACAATGCTAAAATATACCCCATATCATCAGCAAGAATTCCTAAAATCATAAGATCTGTAATCATCAATGATTAAAATGAATAATATTTACTTACCACCAAATGGTGGATTTGATTCACGCCATTCCATCCAAGCAATTGCATGCCGTTGATAACCATGTAATGTAACATTACGAAGAGATAATGGTTGCGGTAGTTCTTGTTCTGGTCTTGGACATTTTTCCATGTTAGCAACAAGCTGTGTTAAAGCTACTTCAACTTCAGGCATACGTTTTCCAATACTGAATAGATTTTGTGCTGATTGAAAATGTTTTAAACTACTCGTTGATGTTGTTGGCATTGGTGTTATCATAGGATCAATTAGTTGAATTGTTCTCATGGATGAAGTAGAATTAGAATTTATTGTCGGAGGTGGAAGAACGAATGGACGTTGATTTGGTCGCCAACGAGCAGCAGGCATTGCAAATGAAGAAGATTTACTCTCCGTATTGCCAATGGATGTCTATTCAAGAAATATATTTTTTTTCAAAAATCGACTTTTTCACTAAAAGAAAAAACAAGACCTTAATTTCATTAACATTTGCAAAAACATCAGGCTTTGATGGTGGATCAGAACGATTCCAAATTTTATCTAACTTTAATTGAATTGAACTCATCTGAAATTTAAAAAAGAATTAAATTATAAATTTCATATTGCTCAAGGGCCGAAACTGGCGGTACATACGATGTGATTAACAATTACACAATGGAAATTAAACGATATGAAATGATAGACAAGGAAAATTCTTTTTACAAATCATAGGTCGAGTTCAAATTGATAAAAAATTTTCGTAGTTGGCGTTAGTTCTCGATAATTTGTTTTCTGATAATTTTAATACATAGGTTCATCGAGTCTCTTTTTTTTAACCTGACCAAATCCTCTTATGATTGTGTTGTTGACGTTTGAATGTCAACTTTTTGAAATATGGATTCAAACGAGTGCTAATTAAGTGCATGATATTGATGGATTAAAAGATCATTTTTTTAAACGCTTTTTCTATCGTATTTGATAATTCTCAGACGTAAATCATGGTCTTGTGGCATGCTTTAAAAACATGATGAGAGAAAAATGTTTACGTGCTGATGACGTTTAGTCAAAGTGATTATTGATTGTTGCCTATTTTACCTACATATAAACTACACATGAATGATTTCTACGACACCTCCGTGTTACTTTTTTTATTTTTACGACGACATATAAAGATACGATATGCACATGAAATGAAATCATATGGCGAAGATAGTTGAATCGTTAGTAAGAATTCAAAAAGAGGTTTTCACGAAAGATGCGTGGACTTGAGGAGCTTGCATTAGCTGGTGCTGTTGGTCTTGGTGCATATGAATTATATCATCATCATCAATATGGCAATTTTGGCTTTGGAAATCCTTACAACAACAATAACAACAACAGTTTTGGATATGGCGATCCATATGGATACGGTTCTCAATACGGAGGACCCCAATATGGATATGGTCAAACAGGATACGGACAACCACAACATCATCATCATCATCATCATCACATGTTTTAAATAAAAATCTATGTTATGTATTCTTTTCTGAAATTGTAAAAATACACAGATAAAAGCTTTAAAATGCTCATACTTCCAAATTCGATTGAATACATTGACAAAAGAAAAGTAGACAAAATACGACTACAGCATTCTTCAGATATAGATTTCTTATCAATCATCATATACTTCTTTTTAAACTTTAAATATTCTATCATAATTGCAGTCAGAAGAAAAGAGGAAAGTGAATACACAAAAACTAAATGTAACTCTATCATCGATACTCCACTTTTCCAAGGACGAAAAGCATTCTAAAAGAAAAACATAAGAATACTTGAAATATTATCAAGTACGATGTCTAATAAAAGTAAAAGTTCTACTGTTTCTAAAATAAAAACAGCTTGTCACCACATCTTATAGTTAAAGTTTCATTAGTAAGCTACTCATTAGTACTAATGTTTTGGATCCTACTGGTGTCGTTGATAAGATATCAAAACTTTAATTTCTCCGCGACAATCAGAAAATAATTTCTTTCTACATCGTATTTGTGCTTGTAACATTGAGTCCATACAAATACTATCGTATATAATACACTACTGTTATTGTAAAAAGAACATTTTGAAAAACATTCTCATATTGATAATAGAAGTTTAGTATAATGACCACAAATGCTTCTCCTGAATATGATTACGGGGTGTGCAAGTAGTGTGCAGCAAAATTTTGTCCGAATGGCACCTTGGTTCGTTTTTGAACTATGACCCCCTACTACTTCATAATTCTTCTAAGCAAGTATTATTATTCTTTTTCTGCATGTCATGCTTGAAAACACGACAAAAGAAAACAAGTTGTTTAGAAATGACGTAAGAGGGGGGCCAGCCATTATTGTTTACCTCCTGATTCATCTAATCACGAGTCACAGTTGAATGATTTCGATGACGTTGTGTTTACATTGAAGCCTATCCATATATATATATATGTATCTTATAGAAATATTCGTTTTATATATTTCATTCATTCGTCAGCAACAAAAAAAAACATTTTCTTGAGATATGCCTGATCTTGCTGAACTTGCATTAGTTGGTGCTGCTGCTGCTTTCGGAGCATATGAATTGTATCATCATCATAAATACGGTAATTTTGGTTTTGGAAATCCTTACAACAACAGTTCTGGATACACTGGATACGGTAATCAATATGGATATGACTCTGAATATGGATATGGGAATCCATCTGGATATGGCTCTGAATATGGATATGGTCAAACAGGATACGGACATCATCATCATCATCATCATATGTTATAAAAGAAACTCTGCATCGCATTTTCTTTCTTTAAATTGTAAAAATGTACAGATAAAGTCTTAAAAGTGCTCTTGTTTTCTTATTTGATTGTATATGCTGATCAAGAAGAGTAGTCAAAATATAACTCTATCATCGATATTTCACTTTTCCAACGACGCAGAACATTCTAAAAGAATGAAATACGAATATCTGAAAACACTATCAAGTACTTCTACAAATAATAATAGTTTACAATCGGAAACAAAAAAAAAGGAAAAGAAAAGTCAGTTATCTTTATTTATTTGAAAAAAGAACGGATCAAGCGAATAAGGATAACAAAATAACTATACAAAATATTATTATAGAGCAGATTGTATTTCTAATTTAGTATCATCGCTGTCTGTTGTCTCGTCTTGAATCATAATATATTTTGTAACTGTTGGGAATTGTTTACAAAAAAATTTATCGAATTCTTCATTTGTCATTTTGACAACATGAATACGAAGAAATTCGATGGCAGCCATTATATCCGGATGACATATTTCGTGGGGTCGTAAGTCGCTTAAAACAGCTTTTAACCGGATAACTGTAGGCTTATCACTTGGCTGAAGCAAAAAGAAAACAAAGCAATTGAATAATTCCATTTATAGAAACAAATATTTACATTTGCATATTCTTCCATCTCTTTTAGCAAAAGTATTATTATATGATCATCAGCATAATCAGGTTGAATCATTTGTATTAAATCCACATACCTATTTAAACAACAAAAAGCAAGATTCAATTTTTAAATTCTTATTGTTGAAACAAACCATGTTTGATATTTAAGATAAGCAGCATCGATCTTCTTTTTATCTTCATCAAAACGTAAATGTTTTAATAGATGATCAAGTATAGTTAACGGTGGCATTTTTTGTTGAAGTTCACGTAATTTTGTTTGACAATAAAATAGACGATCGTTATCAGCTTGTTCAAGTTTATTATTTAAAATAATTGATTGTTCTTCGGTAAAATCATTAAAATCTCGTTTGATTTTATTTAAAATTTGTGCATGACGTTTCGATTGGCCGGTACTAAAATATAAAATTCAAATGCTTTTGGTGTTGTTGAAGGAATGGAAAAAAATGAGCTTTTTTCAAATTTAATACCCAACACAAGTTGTTGGACGCCGTTTCACATTTGCTACAAGTTTTTGTTCAGTTTCACGTGTTCGATGTACTTTGACTTGTTCTTTATTAATATCTGTTGCATTTTCTAATCCAAATATTTTTTTCAGATCGTCATTATCGCCTACACGTAATAAACGTATTTGTGCTGCCTGAAAAGTTATAATTGAAAAAAATTGAAAAAAAATATTTAGCAGTAAATCACTTACAGTTAATGGTAGAGCTTCTTCGGATTTTTTCACTATTAACTTTTGATTTTTTAACCATCGTTTAAGTAATATATCAGGACTACGTTTTCGTTCGTGAATCGATGTCAAACGACCGCGCATACCGCGGCCAGTTGATTGGCCGAAATTAGTTGATGTTGATGTTCGACTTGTATTAGTTAAGAATATAGCTGGTGTAGCTGCAGTGGAACGTATATTGATTGTTTGATGGCTACTTTCGAAATTAGCACTATCAACTGCATCGCCCGGATTACTTCTTGATGAGGATGATTCATTAAAATCTGAATCCATATTTGCTGAATTGAGTGGTATATCTAATCGTTCACTAGTATCACTTAATCTACTACGACTTGCATGTTGATCATCTGAAATAACAATGAAATCAATAGATTTATATTTAATAATCAATAATTAATTACCAGGAGTAATTTCTGGAAAACGAGTTACACTTGATTCAACACTTAAATGTTGTTTTCTTGAAGTCTAGAGAAGAAATAAAACGCATGTGTTCTTTTTTGTTTTATTAATTTGTTCCGTTTTATATGAAGACAAAGAATATTCAAATTATTACATCACTATTTGTAGCTGCTGCTCGTAGTGACACAAGTGGATTTTCTTTGGTTACATTTGTTGTCGATATGAGTGGAATAGTTTTGGAAGGATGTGGCTTAATAGGTTCATGTTGTTTTTTTGTTTGTTGATGATGATAATTATGTACATGTTGACGAGCATCATTTCTTAACCTATATGATCAAAAGCAAATAAACATAGACTGAGATGAGTTACACTTACCATTGATCAATATTCCAACAACCACTGATCATTTCTGACCAATCCGATCGAGCCATAGCTCGTAATAACCATAGAATGCAACATAATTGTCGATATAAAGCATCTCTAGATAATAATAATAAAATTTTTTGACAAATAGAAAAGAAAAGAATTTCATTTTAAATTAACCTAAATGGCATATGTCTTGTAATACGTAATCTTGCTGAAAGACCGCTATAGCGCGGTGTAAATGGACGTAATGTTGCTTGTCGAAGATTATTACGATTCAATGGTGGAGCCGATTGACATAGTTTCATTGGTACGAATGATATTCTATTTTCGAAAAAAATATTTCAATAGTTGTTCTAGTGGAAATATTGAAATGGAGTATCTCACTCTGGTGGATGATGTTTAGGTAATTCGGATATCTCTGTGGAATTGGTGTTGGTTAAATTGGTATTGGTGGCGGTTCTCGGTGACATAATGTCATCACGAATATCACTCTCACTGTGGTTAACGCTTGTGTATAACAATAGTGCAGGTGTGCAGTACACAAAGAAAGCAATATAAACCGATCATAACTTACCTTGATGATACATCTGCTTCATCTTCTTCTTCAAAATCATCAAGTAGTCTGTCATATAAAATTTCTGATTCTTTATCATCACTATTTGTACTAGGCGCTCCATGGTGACTGTCGCCAGTTTCGACACGAGTACTGGTCTATAAAAAGAAAATGAAAGCAATCATTTTTGTAGATCTCTTTCATAGGAAATAGATTTTACATACCGCTCGAGGAAATTTTCCAACAACATCTTTAATACTTTGTCCCAATTGGACACCTTTTAAAATTTCACTAAAAGAAAAAGAAAAAGAAAAAAAGAAAAGTTTTATTTATTTATTTATGAAAAAGTTTCTAAAAGCAACAGATGATGACTCAAAATAAATTTACAAAACATTTTTCTATACATATAATACAAAGAAAACAAATCAAAGTATGAATTACAGGTCGACTGTGCGAAAAAAAATATTCCATTAGATTGATTATTTTTCTGTACTGTGGAGCGCCTGTTTCTTTAGAAGTGTTTTAGTAATCTTTACGAACATTATTTTTCTTCTTCTTCTCAATCAATATCCTTGTATTTCTATTATGTTTGCGTTTAATTAAAAAGAAAAACGATTTTTACCTCGACTTTTTCATATGCTTTTGTTGAGCTGTGTGTAAACGTCGAATAGTTGTTTCAAATTGTGTTTTCATCTATCAAAAGAAAAGAAATTGTCTTGCCTACTAGAACATATATAATACACACCGATAGCTCTTCTTGTCCGACTGAACCAGATTTCGGTCGATTTAATCCATTTTCATTATTTGTTGTTCTCGCTGGTGTTTCCAAAGGAGGTGCATTCGATATTCGTTCCATCTGAATTAGCAATATATTTAACAATACGTTTTATTTTTAAATGTATTCATACTGTTATTGGTTTCAAAGATTCAGTTGGCAGATGAATGGGATCAATACCTTGATAGGAAACTGTTCTTGGACAACACCAACCTTGTGCTTGTTGAGCTTTTCGTCGAGCATAATTTTGTTGTCGCACAATATCTCGAGAAGGATACGATGGTTCACATACAGTTAACGTCCGAATACGTACACGAGGTGTTTGAGCTGTCGAAGTCGCCGATGTCGTTGTCATACTATAATCTTTAGTTGCGTGCGAAACAAGTATATTGAGTTGATCACAGAGAGAAAAAAGTATAATACGCCTCTACTTGTTGCAAGACTTTGTTTGTCTTATAATGTTCGGTGTATGCTTTTATGTGACAGCCATTTTTTGATTTCTTACCTTCTCGCCAACCCTCTTTTTTCTTTTCTCTTCTTCTCACTTTACACTTTCGTTACTACAATCAATCAATAGTGACAAAACAGAAAGCTAATTTTAATAAACTATCGCGCTTGGAGGAAGAACGTTTGTGCATTAACATAATGAGAAAAATTTCTCGACAAACATAAGAACTCGACTAGTTAACATTGAGTCGTTTATATTGATTAAATATTTAAATGAAGGAGAAAAAAAAATGATTATCATAACAAAATAAACTGAATTTTGATTCATCAATATCATAAAACATTGAATTTTAAAACAATCATTTTACAGCTAGTTGAACAACAATCGAAATTTTACTCTCGTCATTGCTAGTCAGAGATAAACTGTTGTCTTTTTGAAATCAAGGTTTTAGATAAATTTCTATAAATGACATGAATAAAAGAGAAGTACATTAAAACGATTGTTTTTGTTGCGATGCAAGAAAAATATAAAAAAAAAGAAAGAAAAACCTATTAAAATTTCATCGACTAAGTCAACAAATCGGCCCTTGATCGATTGCATCGACTTGTAATATGAAAGAAACTCTATCGAGAACAATTAAAAACATTGTCGTTCTAATAGAACCGATCGATTATAGACAATAAATAAAAAAAAGAATAATCTCGAGAAGAATTCACATTCAAAAAATTTTTCATACGAATATTAATCATCAGTATATTTACTCTAATTTCTGCATTTCTCAAATAAGATATATAACGCTCCTGTAAATTAGAAAGAATAAATAGATAACAAAAAAATACTAGAAATAAAACAACGATTACAAAAAGAATGCAAAACCAAGAAGAGTTCTAACGTTCTTTTTTCTTTTGAAAATATAATACGTTCGATTACTTTCTCAATAACAATCGATTATTCAAAACTACCGAGATCAAGTTTATGCTCTTCAGTAGAAAAAAAAACTGAATGGCGTCTACCTATGTAAAAGTTATTGCAGTTGAAAAAGTTTTTAAATGGATATTATATTTACTTTTTTGTTTTTTTATTATTCATTTTCGAAGAGCAGCCTGAGAAGTTCTATATTTATCATGAAGTTTGTAAAATTTTTCTTTTATTTATTTAAAAGTTGATTTTGAAATAAACAAAAAAAGAAGTTCTGAACATTTTATGATAAACGTAGGAGAACTTTATGCGAGTCTTGTGATGACGATTCACCATAAAACGATATAAAATAGATTATCACTGAGAAAATCTCTTCAAAAAAGAAACGAGCCTAACATCGAGTGATGGCATTCGATTTACTCTGTTAAATATTGTAGACTTTAACTTCAATACCTTTCAACGATTGGGAACCATTCAGAAAATGGCAAAGCCTTTTCAATTCCGATAAAGATCATAAATATTCTTCAACCATATTTTATAAGGCTTATTTCTGATAAGAATACTTTTTTATGTTATCCTACTGATTGATATTTAATTTAGTCAGAGTTTCGATGAAGGTCGAGTTTCATTTAAAATTCATTTATCGTACCTCGTCGAAAGAATATGATAAAACTAGGTAGATCTATCATTGTACAATGACTATTGCATGTAGATGTGAAACATACAGGTTTTTTTAAAGGACAACTATCCTTCACTTCGACAAATAAATACTTTTGCTCTAATGCTACGTTATAATTTAATGTAAATTACGATATTTTCTTGAACTTGACACGTCATTATTGATAATTATATTTAGAATAATCGATAGATTCTATTGATGTCACAAGGCCACGCATAATTGAGTAAAGATATGTTGTCTTAATGCGACAGATTGCATATCTGACGTCAAGACTTAAAGTTCAAATTAAATATTCGATAAATGGAAAAGATTGCGTTTTATTTGGTTAAAGAATAGAGAAAATATTTGATAAATTAAAATGCTTTAATTATATGTTCACTAAAAACGACAGAATATGACTGATTTTCATAGAATTCTTGATGAGCGACTAATAAAATCAACGGATTTTGAAAAAAAATTAAAAGATTTGACTCTTTTCTTTTCTTTTCATATGATAATCATTTCTTCATTGTCAATTTCGACTTTAATATATATTGTGTCATCTTTAATATATTCAAACGACGTCATCGTCACCAATTCTGTAAATTTCTGTGCTCCAAAACTTGCATTTCGTTCTGTTACAGGACGACCTAGAAATGGTTTATTTTCTTTACATATATTTGGTTTAACACTATATGTAACAGGACGACGATTATTTATATCTTCGCTCTGATCGAGTAATGTAAATGTAACTCGATGTGAAAATGGCCAAGATAATAAAGCATCATAGTCACCACGACAAATACTTGCAAATAATGAAACATATTTTCCTTTTGCTATATCAGAATATTAAAAAAAAGAAAGAAACAGATATAACTAATTAGTCTATAAATTATCTCGCACCTTTTCCATCACCATCTAAACAGATTGCCAGCGCTAGGCGATAACCATGACGACTAGTTAAAAATGGTGGACTGAATAATGTTGTTTTCTTATTTGAACGCGCTTCCTGTAAATGTTCCTATGAAATAGAAAAGAAAGATAAATAAAATCCCATTATCTTCTCTCTATGGTTAGTTTCACCTGATAATGATCAATTTTCCATATATATTGAGCTCCATAAGTTTTTTCTAGAGCATTGACTTTTTTTGCTAATACTTCAATCCATTTTTTCTGTTCATTTAAGCGTTCATCAAAAGCTTGTATTAATTTGTTTTGTACTGCAATCGTTTTTCCAGCTAGATTTAAATGAAGACCGGGTGATTCTTTTATATGCTTAGAAATAAGTGATCGTTCACTGCGATGTTCACATCCGCAATCAACAAACGGGCACGATAATAATTGTTTTGAACATTCATGATCCAAATGATGTTGCATCTATTCACGAGAGACGAATAACTATATACAATAGTTAATGAAATTGTTTACTTGACCACGCTTAAATTCTTGATTTGAACATTGGTTTGGACAAGGAACTATGAAATCAGGGCAAGTATTCAAATGAGGAATTTCATCCTCGAATACAATACTCATTTTACCTGCATCAATATAAATAAAAACGAGTTAATTCTTTTTTTGTTTGATAGCTAAATAATTCTACTTACAAAATTCACAAACAACTTTACGCTTTGCGCATTCGTCACTTTGATGCTTACGAATAAGACGTCTTTCACATCTTATTCCACATTCATTTGTACAATCAATTATTACAAATCCACAGTTTTCTGTATGATCCTAGAAAAATAAATGAGTGTAACGATTTTGTTTTGAATTACTGCCTCGAATGATGAAAATTGACTTACAGAAAAGTCGCTTAATATTCCATTCCAATTACAACCTTTATCTGTTTTCGAACAAGAAACTTTCAAACTTTGAATTTCCTTTTGTAATATTTTATCATTAACCATTCTATCGCGTGATAATGGCTGTTGACAAGTTGGACAACGAGAAGTAATACTAAACAATTCATAGGCTCGTTTAAATAAATAAAACAAAAAAATTCTATTCATACCGCATAACATCCGGCAAACAAACTGAGCATACATGATGACCACAATCTTCGAATTGAATGGGAAATTTCAAATGACTATTGCAAACCAGACATTGATATTTTGAAGCAAGTTCACCACTTTTCCAGTTTGGCTCTGATTCAGTTTTCCTACAAAGAAAAGAAAAAGAGAGAAAAATTCTCTTTCAACTTCAAATTAGATCTCCAATTTGAACGTAAAGAATCCTTTTTTTTCTTGTTCATACTTAAGGTGCACTTAAAGACAACTCAATATTCGTTAGAAAATATGAAATTAAGACAAATACAAGAGAAGATAGCCCGAAGCTTGATCATTCATAAACGACATGGTTCTTTTTAATGTCCTTTTGTACATAGCCGAAAAATGTTTACTGATCTTTGTCACCTTCTACTGCAAAAAAAGATGCTTTATATCGGTTTCTGCTCTTCTAATTGCGCATCCTAGAATTCCCTAAGGATCCACGTTGTAATAATTTGCCTTTTTTTGTTTGGAAGAACATGAAAAGTTACTATGCCTAGCAGAGTCGTTTTTTCATTAAGCTTTTTATTATTCTATTAAATAACACATCTATCAATAGACGCAGATCTCTTTATGGTTTATCAAGAACAAGAAGTTCTTCTCATTGTTTTCTGTTGCATAAATGATGGAGACTTAAAAAGGTAAGAATCTAGCAAGTGTCTATTTAATGAATAATTCACAACATTGTGAAAATATCGAAGTGCAAAGTTTATCTTAACCTTCACCACCATAATTCACACATATCGTAGAGAATTCTTCTATCGAATTTCAATGTACTTAGAGTAAGATCGCGATTTTCGCAGATGGAGCAACTTAGTCAACCATTATCAACTATATACATCCGACGTATTAGTATATACTTCGAATTTTTTTTCATCAAACCTTTTTGTTTTATACATCCTATAAAGTAGATCTTTATTTTTTCTATTACTAAACATATATTGTAATATTAATCGACTTAACAGACTTTGTATTCTGATAAATTATTCAAGCATGATCAATGGATTCATAGATTTACACATGTTTTCAAACAGAAAAAAACAGAAAAGTTATTTACCGCTTGACTAAACCTGTTATGGGACGAAATTTAGCCGTGTTTGGAGTCGCACTGCGAACTGATACCATTGAACCTTCGTAAATAGGAATACTCATTGATGATTCTGTCATGCTTTTTAGAAAAACTTCTTCTCTAGAACTGATGTTGGATGTTTAAAAATTTTACTGAGCTAAATAATGTTTCTTTCTTTTCTTTTCTTCAGTTTTTTTTGGCACCCAAAATATACAATTAAGCACTTCGTCAAATATTCACAGCTTTTTCCTTTTTATATTTTTGATTCAAAAAGAAAAAACCAGCTAACACAAAATTACAAGTGTCATAGAAGAAAAAAAAAAGTAAAACGGAAATAAAACAAGCATAAGAAAAATTTTCTTGTATCAAAAAAATTATCTTTTTCATAATTTAAGTTTCTCTTTCTTTTCAAGAATGCAAAATACTCTTCAAAAGCATTGTTTATTATTTACATAAGTTCGGACGATGAGGCAAAGTTCAATAGAAATGTCTCGGTAGTTCATGTCAATATACGACGTCAAAAGATCTATTTTTATTTGCTTTTTCTTTTTACAAATATTACCAACTTGTAAAGAGAATATGTTCTTGAATTGAGCATATATGATTAAAAGTAATAAAAAGCTTATCGACGAACAATGTCGCCTTTTCATTAGACTATTCTTTGGTGCAGTAATCGATTTCACTGGCTATTCTTACGTCATCATCAGTAACATCATTCTATCTGTTTTATTGTTGATCGATGTGCCGTTATTGATAGATTATACATATAGTTGAAGCATGATGTTAGTAGATTGATAGTCCAAATGAATTTGTCACTTCTATCTTCCATTCTCTCGCTCGGATGAACCTGCCAAAAGTGTTAACATATATATATACATTAATGCATGTATGTAAGAGATTTCTCAGATTCATAACAATGCACTGTTGGTGATCAAATTCATATTTTTCTTGTTTTCTTTTGTCATGTTTTTTTCCTTTACATTCCGTCACATACATGCATATACTCATTTTCTTGATAAAACATTGAAAAGACAAAAGACGTATCATATTTTGTATGGCTGCTAGCTAGATGAGAAAAAGCAAGAGAATAATTGCTCGTCCAAGCACCATACTGTATAACTGCTGTTACGCACACACATCGACACCGACACATATACACGCAACGAAATACAATATAAAAGAAGAGTTTTATTCAGAAGAAAAAAAGGGAGAAAAAAAAGGAGAAAGGTGAAACAGATGCGATTTGTACAATTTAGAGGGCCAAATATGATAGTAAGTTTCAATTTCTTTTTCTCTTACTGCATATCGACGTGATAGATTGATATTCAATAGCTATGTTCGATACTCATCATCGTCGTTATTCAATATACTTATTAAACGAGAGAAGAAGGACAACTGACAGACAGCGATACTAATGAACGTCGTATCTATTATTTTTCTTTTCTGTCATCATTCTATTAATGCTATGTAATAAATTATGCTAGCATCACTTTGCATCGGTCTTGCATAGATACTCCTCTGATAAACTGCGATCAGCATTGTCAAAATATTTATCTATTAACACAGTATTTTTTCTTCTTCTTTGTTTCATGATAATTGAAGATGTGTTTTTAGAAGCGCTTTTCCTATTTTGAAATTATCGCTACAATTGATTTTTATCGATCGATATTCGTCAAGGTAAGACTGTCGTCTAATGTATGCATTTGCTGGGCATATTAAATTGATTATATTCTTTTAAATACATATACGTGTTAAACGCCCTCGAGAGAGAAAAAAGTCACAATGACGTAACTACCAGAAAAAAAGTATTGTTATTCTCATCTGATCCTTGAATAGAAGACGCAGAGGAAGCGACATCCACATGAGAGCTACATTGAGAAGTAAAGAGAAAAAAGTGGTGATTTTACTATTACCTTTTTTGTTCTCTCTGCTGGCCTCCGTTAAAAAAAACGATTTCCTTCAACTGCAGCTATCCCATCCAACATATATGCATACCTCATCTGGCAATTGCTTCTTTTTCCGTAAATAGACAAGTCAGGTTTTGCTATAGCGAGTAATAAGCACAAAGTTAAACTTCCGATTTAGTTATTTAAAATCGAGGACATTCTCTCTTCTACCCCTGTTAATACAATCGATCTACGTCATTGAGTGACAGTTAAGAAATATACATGCAAGCATTTTTTTTATTCATGTCTTTCATATAGTCACATCCTTTTTACTAATTAAATTTGACTTGCACGAATTCTGTTTCTTAGAACAATTATTATCTTGTTCTTTTTCTCTTCTTCTTCGACTTATTGCATATTTCTCTTGTGTTACGTCTTCTCGTTTTATCGTTTCGATTGTTTTATAGATGTTGCCTATTTTACAATTACAGTCGACACGAGCTTTTTTCTTCTCTGTTACGTTTCTTTACATCATCATATAGTTACATTAAGGAATCGTTTCCCATGTTTCACTAAATAAAGTTCTCGTCATCGTACAGATTTATTGATTTGGGTTTAGCGAACTTTTATACAAATCTTTACACACTAATCAAAAACAGCCTGGTTGATGCCGAGTTGCTGCACGTTCTCCATTCCTTGTCGCCCCCGGATAATATTTTATTGACAACAACTAACCGAAGAGAAGGAGAGAGGGAGAGATCGAAGAAAAAAAGATTATGAGTGAATGATTCTAGATATAATAAAAAAAAAAGAACGAAGAACAAGAGAAATGGATCGTGCCTGGTCTCTTTATCGCGCTCTCTCGGTTCGTCTTTTCTCGTTTACTGTTGTTGGAGTAAGTTAGAGTAACATAAAAGACAGCATATCATGATATACGATAAGAAATATCTCTATCCGAGTGCTGGGCAAATAGAGAGAAACGGAAAAAAAGAACACATATGATGAGCAAGTTCTTCGATTGTTTCTTTTATTCTTTTGTTTATTTGTCTCGCATAGACCATTTGCTATTGACACTATTAGTCTAGTAAAATCTATTATTCAAATCAATATTTCGTTGTTCTGTTCTTTGTCAACAAAGTTAACTGATGTATACTTTCGAAAGGTAGTCGAACGAGTGTAATTTGGCATCTTGTCGAAAATGTCAATATTATTTGAAATCATTATTTTTTTTCTTCTCGTTTTTTCGTCACATTCTCGTCTTTTTGCATACTTTTTCTTTTTATTACTTTGCTTTTTTTTTAACCTTCAATCAGGTCGCTTTTTACGATTTAGAAAATGAGTCCAAACTGTTTCGAAACGATGGCAACAGCAAGGGCACAGAACGATATGACATCATCATCTTCATCGGCTACTCAATCATCAACTACAATATCATCATCACCATCATCGAATTCCTCTATTCCACTTGTTCCATCATCATCTTTGAACGCACATCATACAGGTGGTCACATAACATGTGTTATAATTGGGGATGCTGGCGTAGGAAAATCTTCATTAGTAGTTAGTTATACAACAAATGATTTTCCAACACACTATGTACCAACTGCATTTGATAATTATTCTGTTGATATTTCAGTTGGTACTCGACTTGTTCATTTCGACATTTGCGATACTGGAGGAAAGGTAAATAACATCTACTTATATACATGCGCAAGTCAAAGAAGAGCACTATATAACCTTGAGTCTCACTAATACACTTGTACGTAGAACACATATATGTATATGTATACATAATTGTACAGGAGAAAATCTAGTCATTCAGCGTAGTCATAATTATAGATTTTTTGGCGAGCGGAGTAAGCAAATGTTATGTATTATGATTTTTTTCTTTCATATTGATCAAGCGGAGTAAATGTATACTTTCATACCTGTACTATTTTGCTGGATAAGACATCCAGATGAAGCACATTTATTTGTATTCAACTTGAATCAGAAGAGACAAAAACTTAAAAAAGAAGATCAAATGTCCTTGTTTTTTTTCTCTTTTACTTTTACATACTTCACAGGTGAGATGCTTGATAATATTTTTCCAGTGACTGCAGTACTGTTATTTCAAATAGCACATAAGCAATAAATTTTACTGCGTATGAAAACGTTTTGAAAGTAAATTTTATGAGCATAACTAACGTTATGGCCTTTTTTTTGTATAAGAGAAGATTTTCGAAATGTTACACATATTTAACCGAAAAGAAAAAATCTCCATGTTCTAATATTTGTAAAGCTCATTTTTCATGGGTGATTGATGCAAAATAATTTGAGCCACAAATGGTTACAATAAGGATTAAGATTGTGGAGAATGTCATAACTCTAATAAATAGTCATATATTCAGTTTTCTAGTAGTGCAAAGTGATATGCTAATTTTTAGAAAAAAATTGTTTTATTGAAATCATTACTAAAGAGATCTCAAGAAAGTCTCATAGATAGAACATGTATCTGAAAAACTTCGTAGTTCTATGATTAATTGATAATGAAAATACTTGATGAGATATAAAACATTCCGAAAGATTCCTGGTTTTTCCTAAAAGGCCATCATAATCTAATGTAAGATCAGTTATGTTGATAAATTCTGTTTTCAACAAGTTTCTTTTTCTCATGAGTGCAGAAAAGTCTATCATTTTTTTTTCGACTAAAAACAATATCGAGTTTTTTTGCTATATTTGAGATACTTATGTTGGAAAAGAAAAACAAAATTGAAGAACTCTTTAATGAATACGAATTTGATCCGATTTGATCAAATTTCATTTGTTGATAATCGTTTCTTCTTTCCTATTATGGATATAAATTAGGTTCGCCATACAAAATGCGTATGTTTACAGGAGAATATAAGAAGCTTTACTTCGGGTTTTCAACAGATCGATCGATCAAGAATGTATCAATCATCGTGCTTATCGCGTGTAAATCAATTGAATCAGAAAGAGTACATAGGGCGGCATTCCGAGGTTACTACAATTGAGAGGTCAACTATTGAGAAGGTAGAGTTCAAGCCATTGGGGATGTTAATCGATCGTTGTTTTAAGAATTGAATAACACAAAAAGCAAATCCAAGAACGTGGTTGAATTTCGCTAGGGAATAAAAAAAATGTTTTAAGATTTCTAAATTACATATGAGAATCTATTCTAACAAAACATATGGTACAACTAAGTATGTTGAATGACTCCAGTTTTGCCCATTTTATTTTGATTTATTTTTATATATGTTAATCAGTCTGGTGAATAATGACAGCCTCAAAACAAAAGCAAAAAGAATATTTAACCAATGCGCATAGTCATAAGGCAAACTCTCATGAGAATATAACAATTGAATAAATTTGAATAGAATAAAATAAATAAAAATGTTTTCGTTTTATTATTCTCTAGGAACAATTTTCACCTTTGCACGGTCTATGTATTCCATACAGTGATGTTATATTACTATGCTTCAGTGTTGTAAACCCACAATCATTTCAAAATGCAGTCACATATTGGTTATCACGAGCACGACGTTCAAATTCCAAAATTCCAATTATACTCGTTGGTACACAAATGGATCTTCGATCAGATCTAAAAACTTTATTAATACTCGATCAACAAAAATTAAAGCCGGTGACTGAAAAAGAAGCTCGCGCGCGTGCTCAACAGATGCACGCTTGTACCTATATTGAATGCTCAGCATTAACTGAAAAAAATCTAAAAACTGTTTTCGATACAGCTGTTCTAGCAGCTATTGAATATCGCGATGGAAATGTATCGGCAACAGAATCATCAACATCGATTTTACCATTAATCGAACAACAACAACAACAACAAGATCAAACAACGAATAAACAACAGCAACGACGAACACGTCATCATAATCATTCACTGTCGATGAAAGCTTGGAGAAGACTAGTATCGGGTTGTATTGGTGTTTGAGAATTTCTCATTTGTTTATATTGAATTTTTCGTTTCGTCTCTGTTGCTTGGGTTACATATTAATTTTCTTTCTCTCTCTTTTTTTTCTTCTTTTTATTTCGTGTATTTGTACTTGTGAGTGTGTGTGTGTGCGTACTTTCTTTTGTTTTTCTTTTGCTTCGATTGTTCGAATGGCAAATTTTTCTATGGATGACTTGAAAGCCTCATCAGAGACTGATTTATTTTCTCATGCGTCGAAATCAGTTTCGTTTAAAAGTGATTTTTCATCTGTTAATGGAGAAAATCATTCATGGAGATATCTTGCTAAAACATATTTTAACAATAGTAAACAATTAAAAAGTTCAATATCTAATGTTTTTATAAAAGAAAATTCATCTGGAAATTATTATAAAAATCTGCCTGGTGCAATGCCAATAAGTATGAATGAAATGTTAAAAGCACAGAATACAAATGCACCATGGTTATTTAATGTATTAAAAAAGAAGTTTCATCGTTCTCGAAAACATAAAAACGATAGATTTTCAATGAATGAATTCGACTCGAATAATACAGTAGCCAATAATTCGATATTATTAGCAGAAGAATTGTTAGATAAAGCCATTACTAACGATGGAATGAATGGAAAATGGATTGTGAATGAAAACGACGTTGCTTGTCCATTAATTAAGGTCGGAAACTAGACGGATGCTAGTTCACATGTACTAAGCTAATGAACATATGAGTTTTTCCTAACGATAAATTGATTCCTGTTCACTTGTACAGTACACAGTGACACTATTCAGTGGGGATAAAATTTAACAAAAGCATAATTACAGTTCAATTGTAAAAGAACTGATGATTGAAACTATGATCTAATTAATACAAGAAAAATATTGAAAGTTTTTATTCTTGAGACGTTTTATTTGAGGTTTTCGAAAAATGAATGCATGTCTTTTGTTCGAAAGTTTTTAACAAATATTGATCGATCGTCTAGAATACAATGTAAAGCTTAGAATTTCTACCTATAATTACTTAGAAGTCCTAGTTATTTTAATGGTTTTTATTATATTATCATTAAAATTCATTTTGTCAGTTTATCACAGACGTTGTTCTCTTGTTTCAATAGCAAGAGTAACAGTAATGCATCTGGTTTCTATCAAAAGTCATTCTAAATATAGCTATCCTTAGATCGATAATAGTTCTGTTTCGTGACAGATTAATCTGGCATGCTTGATGTATAAATATAACTTGTTTGATCGCATTAATAAATCTTTTTCTCTTGGAGCTTGGCCTTCACGAGAGAATTTACAAATCATTTATCTTTTTGTAATTTTAGAATTTCGATAGATCTACTTGTGCTCAATACAATGCATCTCGTGCTATGTCATCAACAACATCGCCTATTCCATTATCTACTGATGATTCATTACATCTGTACCATTATCATTACGATTTTCAAACATTAGATCCACCAACAAATTCATCTCCATCGTATTTAGCCGATTATCAAGCTCAAGTTTCATCAGGCAATATCGATGAAACAAAACCAACTATATCCAATGATGAAGATACTCCTGTAGATTCTACTTCAATGGCACCGATGGTCAACACTTATTATGCATCAAGTCAGCGACAGACCGGTTTACACAATAGCCAAGATAAAGAAACACGTTTATCATCTTCTCCTTTTGTACAATCAACACTAGATTCAGTTATTGATGATATACATTTAGTTGGCCGTAATTCAACAATACAAACAACATCAAAAGGAGCAAAATCGGCATCGGCAGCTCGAAGTCATCCAATCATAGGTTCAACTTCTACGAAGAGAGTAAAAAAACAAGTAGAATCAGCAAAAAAGAAGAAAAGCAAATCCTATCAAGAACATAAATTAAGTTCTGAAGAAATCGAATTACGAGAAGCATTGCGTATTATTGATTTGGACAATATTGGATTTTTCCCACCAACTGAATTACGTAGAGTATTGAAAGATATTATTGATATTAAGACGAATGATATTGAAAAAATCGAACGATGTTTACCGCTCGATGATGATGGACATTATTCAATAGATAATCTCATTAAATTATTATTGGGTACAAAAGCAACATGATGTTTCACTAATTAGTAAATGAATGGAAATTTTTTTTGTTTTTATTTATTTTTGCAAAACTAAAAAAAAACGGATTTGCATGAATAAAAAATATAGGTCAATGAAAGAAAAGATATTCTAGATGTTGAATCCAGCTGCTCGCATGCATGCGAGATGAGCTTCGATTTCTTTTGAACAATTTTCTTGTCCGTTTATGACTACACATTCATCACGTATTGTTTTCGTTTCTGGACACGCACAACAAGCTTTGCATTTTGGCTTTATTTCACCACTTTCAGCGGTTGGTTGTGATGAAAGATTTTTATCAGCAACAGGAGTTATGATTGGTTGACTTTTAGCTTGATTTGAACCCATCTGTGAATCAGATCGAATAAATGAATGTCGAGAAATCTAACTGAATATCTAGAAAACAGAAAGATTCCATGGTTATTCTTCGTATATCTTTTAACATTAGTCAATCGTATTGATTAGATCTCAAGGTTTCGAATTTCTATGAATATAACTAGTCTTCTGTGTGATTAAATCTTCATGTCATCATTTTGTATTGATTTAATCTAAGACTCGCATAAATTGCAAATGGGAATTATGCAATCATTTTCCAAGAGAGACTCAGGGATTAATACATATAATGATGAATTACAACTTCTATATTCTATTCAATAGGTCTCAAGTTTTATTCTATCAAATCCAATTTATGATTACATTCGATTTAATTTCTATTCAGCAAAAAATAAATAAATGAAATCCTTTGGTTTGAATAGAATTTCTTTCTTTATCATTTTATTCGTTTTTTTGGCCATGAATGCAATCTTTGTAAGAAACAGGCATTTTGTTTTCTGGAAAGTGAACCATATAAAGCGGCAATTGATTTGAAAAAAAAACGAGAAAAGCAGAAGTAGATAACGGTGCGTATACGTGAACAAGACGAAAACAACAAAAATTAATAACATAAAAAAAACGAACTTAGGGAAAACAAAAAAAATAGTTTTCTGATTTTATATTGTTTTCTGAGACTTTTCTTATAATATATATATATATTAATATCAAACACAGGAGAGAAGAAAAACTCGGAGTCATTTTTATTTTGGTTTGTTTTCCTAGGCGTCGCATATTCAGGTCGTTTGATAACAGCAATAAGAAAAAAATATATATAGAATATGAGATAGACAGAGAGAAGAACTGTTATACGATCTCACTGTGATAAGTGAAAAAAGAAACAGATAGATTTATTTTAGCTGTCATAATACGTTGTTTCGGTATTACGAGAATTTAATTGTTGGATATGTCGAAGAATATCTTTTTTAGTTATGGTTCCTCGTAATCGTCTAAATAAATCGAACAGATGAAATTAAGTAACAAGATGATTAAACGTAATACATACCCATTTCGTGTTACAAAAGCTTGTCGAAGGCCTAATTTACGGAATAGATCAATAACTGTTTCCATTGGAGTTTGATCAGTAACAATAATTGGTGCCTGAAAACAATATCGTTATGACAAAAAAAAACATCTCCTATTTTTGAAGAAGGAAAAACCTGGTCAAGTAAATTGCCAATGCGAATAACTTCTGAACTTGTTGTGAAGCGTGGCTCGTTTTGATTGTCAACTTCATAGTCAGAATTTACTGCTGCTTCTGATGATGATGTAAATTGAATAACATTAGATGAAAGACGAAAACGTTGCATTTTTTGTGATTCTAAATTTAAAGATTCATTCTTATCTTTGACATAGTTCAATAGAGTCTCAACATCCAGAATCCACTTTTCAAGGATGCTTTTGTCTTGTTTCTTTGCATCACTTTTCAATTCTATTAACTATTAACTTTTTACACCCTGCTTTACTATTCTTTTTATTCATGCGTAGACACTACCCATTTGAAAATATAAGCCATGAGATAGATAAAGTGCGTAATTTTTGTGCAGAATCTCGATTACTATAAGAAACTATATATTAAACGCTAAATACAATCTGAGTACAGATTCATATATTTGAAAACAATGATAGCACTAATTTTCTTTACTCAATTATAAAAAATTGAATATTCCACTAATTGCTGAATGAATAAATACTTCAATAATGAGCATAAGGTGGAGTATGGTATTAGCACGTAATGTTAATCCTACAAACTTTTATAAGAGCGATTACTCCGACAAATAGCATTTACGGCTGTATTTTAAATAATTTATTCACTAGAATATATAGAAATCAAAACTGATTATTGCATATGATAAAACTTAAATCAATACTAGTGATTTTTAAACTATATATATATAGGAGTGAAAAAGTCAGGTTTTAATTCAAGAACACTTGTTTTTGCAAGTATGTAAATGTCTCATTTCCGGCTTTATATGTCATTCAAAAACTCATTCTTACATCATATTAGTAACCGCCGTTCTATGATTAATTCAACTATAAAGCTTTTCTAGTTCGTAAAAATACATACTGAGGGCAATTTGTAGGTCACGTCTTAATATTTGTCCAACTAGATACGGTTGATCACGTGAAATAACCACAGGATACGACGTATGCGTTGTTTCTTTTAATAGATTTTCTACTTCCAAAAATGTCATACCAGATTGTGTTAAATAAGCTAATAGTAAGGATTGTTCAGGTCTATTAAAATACGGAATAAATATTTTATTGGTTTCTAAAATGAAAACAAATAAAAATTACCTTGGACGCACAACATCTGCTGCGGAAGTTGTAAAATTAAATTCTTCTTTGTTATCCAAAAATGGATAACCATTCAATTCAATATGTGCATCATAAATACCACCACGTACAAAACCATCACCAATCCATTTAGCTGTCATTGCCGCTGCCATTAATGGAACAATATAATTTAAGCCACCTGTTAATTCAAACATAATAACAACAAGTGATACCGTCATTTTACTAACACCACCCAAAAAGGCACATGCACCAACAATAGCATATAAAGCTGGTGTAACACAATTTTCGTCTTTAAAAAATTAAATAAAAAACAATCAAAATTGTAAAAACAATGTTTATTTCTACCTTTACTACAATCGTGACGAAAAAGAATAAATGATGGATTTTGTATAGCTAATTGTTCTGTTATAATACCAATTATACGGCCTGTTATAGCTCCTATTGACATTGATGGAATAATTAAACCTGATGGAACTTTAACACCGATAGTAAATGTTACAAGTATAACTTGAACAATAAGAGCAAAAAATAATTTCCATATAGCTTGATGAACACCAGAACCAGCTAAGCCTATAGAGCCTTTTATTTTACCATTATGAAATTGAGCACTTGGATAATCACTAGTAAAATAAAATATTCAATATTTGAAAACAATTCTTCGTGTTTTCTTTTACCAGAGATCAATCATATCTTCGACACGACATTGGCTAACTAGACGTTTTATTAATTCTGACATTGACATACGTGTATATGGATTTGGATAGATAATAGTAGCAGTAATTATTGCAAGGCAAACAACCTAAATAGTAATAAAAATTTGTATCAAAACTTGAATTCTATCATCATCCTCGTTTGGAATAAACTACATATCTTGAAATAATTCATTTTATAACTAATTATCTTCAGAATAATCTTTTGAAGAAAAATAGAATTATATCGTAAATAGAATATTTTTTCTGACTGAAACTTTCATAATACCCTATGGATTGTCGTGTCTACGTATGTATGAAATTTGACTCTATAATTGAGTAAGACAGTTCCAAAGGGTCATGTGTATGAATCGCGTTCAGTTGAATAGGATATGAAAAATGTGAGTACGTGCCTAGTTAGTTCCCTCATAAGACTAACTCTATTTATATAATGGCTGACTTACTTCAATTATTGTATATTGTCCAAGTCGTGAATTTTTTCGAAAGCGACACCACCAAACATTGGTTTTAATAAAAAAAGCGCCCCATAAACCCTAAATTTCAAGAAAAAAATGAATTTATTTTATCGCCATCTATTCGTCGTACCCCAAGAATGCCCAATAAAATAAATGGTAATAGTTCAAATGATGACCATGGTACCGAGTAATCAATACTAAATTGAATATCATGTCCATTGCCATATGGATTTATCGATCGAACAACAAGTGCACCAACCATGGCACAAAAAAATGAACGCCATAATGTTTTATACGGGAAATAGTATGATACTTCTTCTAAACTGAATAAAACACCACCTAAAATTTTAAAATACAAAATTATTTTCTCGAAAATTAATTCAAATCTTATTTACCGATCGGTGCACCAAATGCAACTGAAACACCAGCTGCAGCAGCTGCAGATAGAATTTCTCGTTTTTTCGCTTCATTTCGACCATATTTTGGAAAAAGATATGAAAATATGTTGCCGCAACAACAAGCAATATGAACAAATGGCCCTTCTTTGCCCAATATAAGGCCAGCACTTGTAGCACACATCTACAATGAGAATTTTCGTATAAATAAATTTTCGATTAAAATAAAATCAAAACTTACCATGCCAATGCTTTTTATCAATAGAGTCCATTTACCCAAATATCCTCGTATGATAAAACCACCTAATATTGTCTTAATCTATATTAAAGAGAAAAATAAATAAACCAAAGCTGACTTTTTTTGGTCTTACTTCTGGAATACCGCTTCCACATGCATATGGTGCAAATACTTTGACTAGAAGAACCGCAAAGGTTGCAAAAATCGTCGACCAAAATATGTACATAATATAAGATAGTAAATATTCCCCAGGTCCTTTTCTGTATGTGCCAAATACTTGTGGCCAAGTAAACCACTGAAATCAAGAAAACAAAATTGTGATGCCTGTATTTTCATTAAGTTCATCTTACCTCGGGGCATTCTTCGGAATTTACATTATCGTATTGAAGTTCTCGTGATGCCCAACCTGAATAAATAATATTGTTTAATGACATCATGAAGGTTATTACAAATCCTGAAAAACTTTAATTTGGATTAAAACGTTGTTTTAGTCTCGTGGGAAATTAGTGTAGATAAGAAATTGTAGGCTTGATTATCGTAAGCAATCATACGAAGAATAGAAAGTCAAATAAAGATGCATTGTAGGTTTTTTTCAACCTTAAAAAGCAATCGGAAGCTCTGCTAGATAAACAATGAAATGATATTACTCATATATATATATTCTACTTAAAGATTCAACAATCTAGGCAAGAGTAGTATCAATCATAGGATCAAAAGTTTTTGTTTTTTTCTATACAATTGTTTAAATCTAATGAAATATTTAGTCAACAAATTGAATAATAACAAGAATAAGTTGCTTAGTCGCGTTCGCGATCTATGAATCACACCGGATGATTACGGTTAACAATCATGAAGTACGTATATGCCAATGAAAGGTTAAATTTTTCTATTCTATGACTAACAGCGAACATAGGGTTTCGATAATCGTGAATATCGTCCTTGTCAGTTCCCTCTATTTCAAAATACATACAGCATTGTTCTCGGTTAAGCCAAAAGGCATTAAGGCATATGCCCTGTTTTAAATGTGATATCCAATTTGTTCCTATATCGATAACAGCGGCAATAACGCCAGCGCTTAAGCCAACAAGTAATACACATAGCCAACCAGACCATGCATCATGATACATTAAAAGTTTATTAAAAAGCGATTGATAAGATTTAGTACGTAATAGACGATGTCGAAAACGATCACGCATTAAATCTTTTAGCCAATCTATGGTTTGAAAATCATCATAATGTGTATTTACTAGGTCAACATTCATTACACCATCTATGAATAAAATATATAACAACAAATTGTTGTATTTTTTAAAAGCCTACTAGATGATCTATCGGTAGTCGCATTTTGGAAATCAATATCAATCATATCGTCATCACCAGGACGAATTGGATTTGTTGTAGACATTGTTGTGATGGGTTCGGCGAATGGATTAATGGGAAGGAATGGTTGCTCGTCTATAACAAAGGCAATTATAATTAATATAAAAATCAATCAGTATTCAATTGAGCAATGCGGGGTTTCTCTTGCGCTAGCGCTAATCTACATGCGCACTTCTTCTAGTCTATTTACTACAAAAAATAAAATAACAAATAAAAATAAGTTTTATTCTTTTTTTTGTATAGATTTGTTCTGTATTTGCAATTCTAGCTCGATTACCTGGTGCTTCAGAACCTAATAAAAGAAAGAAAAAGAACTTTATGAATGCTTCGATTCATTTTTTACTGTAAAAATCAATACAATATATGTAGAGCAAAGTTAAAATCACTTACTGGACGTTGTGCGTACAGTATTGTATTCTTTATTCATGTCAAAGTCGACCAAGAGATATTTCTTTTCGTTCATAACATCTAAACATGAATAATTACATAAACATATGTCTTATTTTTATTGATGCTTACTTTGAAGAGCATTTTGTGTCTAATCGTCATCACTCATGACGATAAGAGTACTTTTTTTGATGCGATGAAAATTTGTAGAGTGAGAAATTTAATAATGGGAAGAAAAGATTTTTTATTTATGTCTATTGTTATTATGCTATGAATACTACTAATGTGCAGTATCTCGTGAGCAAAGGGAAAAACTCAAAAAGTCTCCTTTAAATAAATGAAAGAACATAAAAGGGCGAACAAAATGCACGAAACAGATATAAATCATCGGTGATCGTCTTCGATTGGTTGCTATCATTCAGTGAGTAATTTTACAATTGATATAGATGCTATTTTAGATTAAATTACAGATAATTAAATAGAGAATTGAATTTAAAGTTTATTTAGAAAGACTGAAAATAATTTTCATATATTAGCGACATCTGTTGATCTCTATGATGAACATTTACATTGTAGAAAATCATTTGGTACTTACCAAATTTTGATTTTGTACAAATTTGATTATCACCAGTATGAAAAATAATCAAAAATAAAAAAGGAAAAAACAAAAACAAAAGAAAGATGATTTATTAAAAGACACTATCTTTTAGAATAATCAAAACCCGAAGGTTCTTCTATAAGAAAAACATAAAATAAGATATATAATCACGATCGCATCTACTTGACTTGTGATGATGTGCAAAGAAGAACTGAATTCATTAAGAATCATATAGCTATTGCAGTTCACTATGTTTTTTTGCAGGGTGATGAAAAAATACTAGAGAACGACGTGTAAAATGCTAATAGACATCGAGGAGAACAAAGAGAGAAGAGCCAAAGTGTTCCGCTTTCTTTTTTTTTATATGGCCTCTTTGGATATTTTCCATGTGATTATGTCATGTTTAAATCAATGCGAAGAACACGAGGAAGCTAAACAGAAAATCAGCATTGACAATTGAACGAAGAAATCATCATCTCAAGTTTTTGTTTACTTACTGATGTAGCTGTCACAATGCCGATTTATATATGTAATCGAATGAAAATACAATTCGAATTCTATTAACTTTTTGTTCACATTATTTTCAACTAAGGTGAAAAAATGATTCCCTGTCTAATTGCGATATCATTTTTTTCTTTCTGTTCTATGTAATTAAAATCCTCTATCATATATATATCTATATATCTATATATAGGGTCAAGTTTGTTGTGTGAAACCAAACGGAAACAGATCCGTTTCCTGATTGTGTGTCGGATAGACAGACAATGCGTTAAAGTTATTTGCTCATTTTTTCTTCTATTTTTTTTAAAGAGAGAAAATAAGAAAATAGTACGTTTGTTCCTTTTTTTTCTCTTTCAAAATATATATTATAAATTATTTAGCAATTATAATCATTTATGTGCGAGTTATTGATTGTGTTTTAGATGGAGCTTTTTCGTTTCGATTACTATTATAGTTTATTTTATCGGTCAATGGAATATTTCGCGTTTCAGGTAATAGTAATGTTAATAAGACACAAATAATAGTTAATAATGCATAGATATAATTTATATAAGTGACAAATGAAGTATTGCGACTAATTGAAGTATCAATAATTGGTGCCACACTAGAGCCAAAACGACTAAGAAGAGCAAAAAAACCCATACCAGTAGCACGAATCGTTGTTGGAAATAATTCTGGTACAAATATATATGTAACACCAACTGCTCCACTTATTGCAAATTTTCCCAGTTGAGCAACAATTATAATAATAGTATGATTCAGATGAGATGCTAATGGTGTCAATAGTAAATAAATAATAGTTAATATAAGAAAAACTATAAATATTGGTTTTCGACCATATCGTATCATCAAAAGACTAGAAGCTATGTAGCCAATAGCTTCAACGATAGCACCAATAATCATATTTAAATAGAGATTGATTTCTTTCATGGTTCCAAGACCAAAAGATACTTTGAAATAAAGAAGTAATGTTACAAATCCAAGAAAACCTGATATAAATAATTTGCTCATTGTTGGTACATGTGTTAAAAATCGACGTGATTTAGACAGAAATGATAATTTAACTTTATTTTTTTGATTAAGATATTTTTGTTTTCGATGATTATCAATAAGATATTGATAATATATTAACCATCGGGAGTCAGATCGTCGATTAGTTTGAGCCATTTGACGTAAAACTTGTTTCAATTCAGCATAACGATGTTTTGTTAATAACCAATGTGGAGATTCAGGTACAAAAATAAGATACGGTACAAGAGCAAGCATATATAAAGTCATAGCCCATTTAAGTAAAAGCCAATGTTGACAAATATACGCCATACCAGTTACTATGACTTCACCAACAGAATATGCAACCAGAGCTAAATTCCCTGTAAAAGCAGCATGAGATGATGTAGTGAGCTCTAAAATTAGAATAAACGACGCTATATATGTGTCGATACCAGCTGAAAATTGACTGATGAGAACTAAAATGAATCTAAATGAAATATAAAAGGATAAATTATAGTAAAACTTTTAGAAAATTTTCTTTTGAAACATGAGTTGGTCTCAGAGAATTTTCAAAGGCATCGAAATATATATATATATAAGTGTATATGTATAATGATTAAATAAATGAATCGATTGGTTAGTGCCTTGAATAGAATGCTAGCACGAATCAAAGGCTTTGTTTAAGTTTTCCATATACATATGCTCATCGTATCACAGGTAGAAGAATTTTTGTGGACATATACTTGTTCAATTGATTAGATTTCTAGACAACACATGAAGTAGAGTCAACTTTAAAATGAATATTGATTACACTCATTTTTCAATCTTAGTTCATTTAGTCGACATTGAATAGTCTTGTTCTACTTTAAGTTTAGTGCTTGTATAGTATTGCTCTTTTCGTGATAACAATATTCAATATCAGACATATCCATTCAAAATATGACTGAACAAGACTAGATCTCCTTTTAGCTTACTTTCTTTTTATTGTTCTACAGATCGCTATTATTGGATTCATAAATGTTTAATTTACAATAAAATTGCATCTGTCAATACCTGCATAATATAAAAATCTCGATGTAATGAAATGTGAACGTCATTTCGTTTGACATTTGACAAGTACAACAACTTGGCAAGCATAAACATATCATTTTTTTTTGTTATATGCTATCGTGCATATATTGGAAGAAAATGATAAGCAGGTAAACCTTAGTGACAATAGGTCTGCTTCAAATTCTGATACATGTATAGAATTATTCTATATATATATATATCGTGTCCCTTAAATTTAGAACCATTATTGCTTACTTATGATTTCTTGACATCGGTACAAATTGTAAAAGTCCTTGAGTAATCAAAGAAGTAACTAATAATTGACCAACAAGTAATCTCAATGAACAACGACGACCTATCCAATCTGTGAGTCGTCCCGTAAAAAAAGTGAACATAGCACCAATTTGTAACGTTGTTGCCAGTAATGAATGATAAAAACTATATTGACAAATAAAATTGGCTTCTTCTGTAAATGTTCGACCATAAATAGTTGGATTGTATATCCAATTTGTACATGGAAAAATACCCATCGTTTGATTCTGAACATTTTTTATTTCATACGAACATTGCGAAGGTGATATTTCAAGGCTAAAACCTTGGCTAATATTATACGGTGTAATGCATTGATATGAAGTTTCAGCTGAGGCAAAGACATAGTAAAAATTATAAACTCCTGTAGCTACTGGAAAAAGAATAAGAAAAAAGAAATGCATATATTGATATCGACCAAACGATCCACATTCTTCAATGACACGTTCAAGTGTTACATTATTCGAACTATTCTCTTCATCCGAGGACAAAGGTACATTTTCCTAGTTGAAATATAAAAATGACATACGAATAAATTGAAATCAAATATTTTCCTACTTCTGTCGACATTGTTGTCGATAATAATTGTACAAAACAAATGTTGCTTATTGCAACCTATCTTATACTACTTTATCAATAAATTGAAAGTCAAAAACTGGATCGAATGACAAATATTTCTTATCATAATAGTTAATCATTTTTTTTCCTCTTACGTTATTTATTTTATTTTTCAAATGAATAAAATAAAAAATATATATTTATCAGTGATCACTAAATGATGTTACTAGTGAATATAAAAAAGGAACACAATAGTTAATCACTAGAAAACGAAACGAAAAAGAAATATCCAGTTTATCAGTCCGATACTTGGCAGAGCAATGCACTGCCCATCGATATCCAATAATCTTGTGGTTTATCAGTTGGTAAATTTACTGTTACGACAAAGTTCGTTGAATGACCTAAATTAAAAATAGTAAAATGTTTTTGATCATTTTCTTTTTATTCTTTCTTTTCTTCGCATACCTGTTGTAGATAGAACACCCGCTCGTGCTGCTGTTTTATATAATGGTGAAATATATTGTGTAGGATCTACAACATAATTTTGTCTCGGTTCCATATGTAACATTGGTAATGTTGCTATCATTTCACCACGAATAGCATCAGTGATTTGTTTTCGTTGATTATCCCAACGGAACGCTTCCGTATATAAGCCATGCAGAATAACACCATCTTGAACTTGTGGCAGCTAAAAACAGCGGAAATTGTATTAAAGAAATTGATTATTTTTAAATGGTAAATTACTTGTTCATCAATATCAAGTTTTTTTCCGTATTCTAAACGTTTAACTAGTTCATTGTACGAGACATGGTCACGTTCATAAGGTAACACAGTAAAATGGAAGCTTAACTCATCGATAGGTAAATCGTATTTACGGGCATGAACTTGTAGAACGCCTGTTAGAAAACCTTGTGGAAAGAATAGACCCGGTAGCCAATATGATTTTGGTAAACCGTGAAGAAGCCAAAGCTAGAAAAAATTTTGAAAAAAAAATTTCTTCCTAGATGCGAAACAATGTTAATTACCGCCATAAAATCACAACGTAATAATAAATCTTTAATCCATGATGATAGCGATTTTAATGATGGATATGCAGCCTCAGTCCAAATAGCAGGCACTTGATTATTGAGAAAAGCAGTGTACACTAAAAAAACACGAGAGGTCAATAGTTATATGGTAAATTGGAGCAGCTGTATTTTTTATGAGCTCATATAAGAAAACAATGGATCGAAGTCAAAGCATGTTGCCCAATTAAATTGATCTGAGCATTTCTTCATTCAGATTCGAAACTCATTATCAATCAAATTTGGATATTAAATATCAGTTTGAATTGAAAAGTACTAAAACTCAAAATTCTATCACAATCTCGTCAAATTCATATTGTAATGAGAACATATTTTAAAATGCTATACGAAAATGAATAATTGAATTAAACAATATTCTTACTTTTTTCTAGTGTGTCATCCATAACTACTAAACCTTTGATTGCTTTCATTTGATTAGCTAGTGATAGTTTAATAATATTTAAAAGACGATTATAACGATCAACTTCTTGTTGGAGAACAGTTGTTAGGGAATTCAAACGTTCTTTTGAATCTGGTTCAAATAATGATCGTGGTGCTTTTTCGATATCTAGTTTTTCAGGTAATTTAGCTAAGATTGCTTCTGCTAATTCATAGACAATTTCATCATTGGATTTGCCAGCACCACCAGATGATACACGCGGTTGAATATCAATAATTGTATTAACAAGATAATTCGATTCTTGTGTCTAAAACAGTCAAAGAAACAGCAATAAATAAACATTTCATTCTTGTCAAAAACCAAAAACGTTTTTACTTGAAATGTAATATTTGCATTTGGATTCATTCCAAATATTTCCGGGTTATCATTGATTGGCAACTGTTCGATATAGTCACGATATTGTTGAAGGAATTTTTGTTCAGGGCAATAATAAGTGCCTGACGGAGAATATTTATAATTTGGTAATAATGTATCAGGCGAAAAGAATCGTCGTAAAATAGTACGTAGACATCGTTGATCCCAGAAGTCTGTTACACGACCACCATATGTGATTTCCCCTATTAAACAAAAATAGATAAGAGATTTTCCTATAAAAAAAAACAAATCTCACCAGTAATATAGATTAATGCATCCCATGGAACAGCGCCATCTTTACAGAACATATCGAAGTTTAGTAAAGCACATTCACGATCACTCTATAACAAAAAAAAGAGATTTCTTTATTGATCAGAAATAAAATAACTCCTTACATCATTAAATTCATAACGAATATTAAAACCTAATGCACCAAATTTCTTTCGCTCTAATAAACTTGCATGAAAGAAACAAATACCGAACACAATCTTTTTCCAATCCATTTCCAAACCTATTCATTAAAATAAATCTTTACTGTGAAACGCACAAAAAGCAAACATTAAAAATCAAACTTACGATGTGTTTCAAAAAATGTTGGCGTAAGGTCAATAAAAGCACGTTTCATATTTGCACGTATACCTTTTGGTGGTTCACTTGTTACTTTGACGCTATTCTGTAAAACACTAACTGGAAAAGTGTTTGCTGGCATCGAACTTAGAAATAGACGGAAATTATTGTGGCATGGCGTTACACCTTCGTTAATATTTTTGACAATCGATTCCATATTTATCATCCAACTTGCAGCTAAATGACAATTTTGTAAGAATACCCATTCACCAGCAACAACAGATTTTGAAATCATATCTTCAGCAACAGGACCCTGACCTTGACCAAGAGATATTGCTTTGTAACTAAAGAAATATCATTATTATTATTATTATTATTAAGAAAATTTATCATAAGTTTTTCAGTCTAATATTGAGCTGTTTATGGAAGCTCTTTACGTTCATTCTAGTATTTGATTTGATTCTCATTTTTGAATCTTATTCTTCCGGAAACAAATGAATACCATCAAAGTCTCTGTGCAATCATACAAACCTGGCCGTCATGTTCATTTCAGCCGCGAATCTCGAAAAACTTGACATTGGATCAGAGCCCGTACTTAAAATAAATACTAATGCTGTGCGATTTGACATATCTTGATAAAGAACAGGTAATTCAACTGATGGACTCTCGACGAATTTCTTTCCTAATTGTTGCGCAACAAAATATGTGATCGATTGCACAAGTGAATATGGTGCAAATGCTTTAACGAATAATAATTTTTGAAAATCAGATAATTTTGTATTATAACCACTTGGAACATTCGTTGTTATATCATTACTACTGATAACAATACGTAATTCTGGATTTATTTGTACATAAATTGGTTGTTGATAATGTTCAATATCATGAGGTAAAGTTTTAAATACATCGCATACTCCAGCTAAGAATAATGCTTGATTCCAATGTTCGAGAGATAACCAATCATGATTTGGTTTCGGTGGTCGTTTCTAAAGATTAGAAAATGCTAAAACGATTCTTGTAGAAATTCAATAATATTACTTCTTCAGTTACTAAACCACCACGAAGTAAAAAGTTCCATTCAATGTCGTTAATAGCTCCTTCTAATTTTAAGATTTCAGCACAGAGAAGAAAACTAAATATAAGTTTATCTTTTTCGAATAGACCACTATAAAGAAAAAGAAAGTACAAAATAAAATCTAATAAACAATTTTTTTTGTGCTATTTTATTCATACCGGGATACATTTGTATAAATATTCTCAGTTGTAGAATCAAGAATAATTTGTAAACGTTGATTAAGATCTTCACTCTTGGTACTATTTTCAATGGTTGCATTAAATAATTGTGTAAAATAACGTAAAGAAAATTGATACATAGGATCAATTAAACCTAAGTCAGCTACAACAAAGTATAATAGTGAACCACGTGTAGCTGCTTGACGATATTTTTCACGTGCAGCGGAAATATTTGCTTCTGTTTTTAGTGTTTCTTCAAGACGACGTTTAATAGCTGATGATGTTACCTTGAAATATGTTTTTATTTAGAATATTAGCAATTTAAGAAAAAAACAAAGACTTTAATATACCTTTGAATCATTAAGTGAATTAACTAATTCTTCATTATCAAGAATGTTTCCTTCACTTTCAAATAGCATTTTAAGAATTTTATCTTCAATCGCTTTCAATTGATTTCGATCATTGTTCATTGTAACAATGAGACGATTCATTTCTTCATCGAGATCAGGCCGTTCAAGTCGAACAACGTCACTAGAATAATAAATCAATTCTATTATAATTACAATTTGTCAAGCGTTTGATAGGTATTGGTTGATATTTATGTAATTAAGATACTGTAAAACACTTGACTTCGTTCAAAGTTTTTTGTAAAATGATTTTCTCTATCGGAACCATTATTTGGAATTCTTTTTTCAAAGTTATCATTATGGAAAAAATTGAAATGAAATTTCCGAGCCTTTAAAATGATGCAATACCTTAGAATTTGATCTTCTAAACCTTGTTTTGTAACACTGAAATTAATAATTGTTACTTTAATACAAATTTCTGGTAAGTAATGTGGATTGCTTAATTTTGTTGTCATATAAAATTTAAAATTACTATCATATTCAATGTCCGAATCACCAAGACGAATTAATAATCGGCCACCCTAAAAGAAATAATGTTTGTAAACTTCTACATTGAAAAAATTGTTCGCAACTATTTCTGCTGGTACATCCGATCGAACTTGATCACATGTTATGTTAGAATAAATGTGGGAACTTCGGATTTCATCCGAGAGTTATGTGTACTGCAAAAAGTGCATGCGACATATGAGTCATTCTAGAATGCCTGAACACGAAAATTATCATGAGAAACTAGACAATTTGATTTCTGGATGGAGTTTTTGTGAATTTTGAGACGTTTTTCAGGCGATGTTTCGTTAGAAAGCTATGACTTAGTTCAAAACTAATATCAGATTTAGAATCAGCGTTAAAAACTGAGTCGATTTATATATGTTGTGAATAATTCTGAGAAAATTTTTTTTTTGAAAAATCCCTGTACTCCCCCTCAGGGATGGTCTGATCAAAAATGACAATTTTTTCGACAACTCAGCCATTTCTTGACGGATCCTTCTCATCTTCGAACTCGACCTAGATATTGATAAGACAATTCTGTGCACAAAATTTCAGCTCAATCGAATGTAATTGTGAAGAGTTATCGAATAAACGGACGGCCGGACACACTGACCGATTCTATAGTATACTCTTTTTTTTTTGAGTACACAAAAAGAACTTTGTTGTCAGAAATATTCACTAAATTTTTATTCGAAAAGACTTCTCTATTGTACTCAGGTAACAGTAATTATCCAGATCAGGGTGATTAAATTTAAGTTTAGTTTTTTAAAGACTATACAGTCTGCGTAGAATATTTTTCGACGAAACGTACAATCATTCTTTGGTACATACCGACATGAATGTTTGTTTAAGTAGAATAGGTTCTAATGCTGGATCAAGTGTTTCGCCAACATCTTCTAGTAGCAATGGCATACCTATACGAACACAATTTTCCAATATACGTAAAAAGTGTCCATCAGTCATTTTAATAATTTTTAATGCATTTTCCTTTTCTTTATTTTTAATCCAACGATTTGCTTGTTCTTGCGGGTCAATAATTCTTTAAAAAAAAACAAAGATGACATGAAGTTCTTTTTTTTATTAATCAAACAATTAAAAAATCGTTCTTACAAAGGCCATCGGCGACCTTTCGTCACAAGGATAGCATTTTCTGTACTGAAATCATCTCGTGGTAAACCTTGTGTAACCCATTGACGAATCGAGAAAGCATCAGCAAGTACATTGATAATTGATGGATTATCGGATACAGGTATTTTATGTTCTTTACATCCTTCTACCCAATTTTCAACAAGCTAAAATAAAAATGTTAATATTTTCTTTTTTTTTGATTAAATCATAAAAATAAATAATTCTTACTTCCAGTCGATATGATGATGGAAAAGCTCCATAATAAGCAACACATGCCGACGAGACAAATACATTACCAGTAACAGTTTTCATTTGTTCATTAAATTCAGTAACATTTTCTTTCCAACGTATTTGTTCATCTGCAAGAGCGGTTGTTAATTTCGATGCACGTTTTAAACGTGATTGTGTTTGCATAATCGATATTTCAAGTTTTTTCTTTTCAGCAACTTGATGATCATAGGATTCTTGAAGTTCTTTTATTTTAGATTCAACCTGTTGCAATTGTAGTTGTTTCTTTTTCAATTGCTCTGTAACAGAGCGTAAATCAGCTTCAGCTGCTGCAACACGTTTACGTTTCGGTTCAACTTCTTTAGAAATTTTAGCATACATATCCATGGCTATAACCCATTCAGCGAGACTGGCACATGCAACAGAACTTTGTAGAATATCTTTATAATTAAAATTTGACATTTGCAAATAAGGTTTTAAATCGCGTAGAACGGATTCAGGAATATTATCTTTTGGATAATTACGAATTTGATTAATAAGATCTGATTCACCAAGTAAAAGTTTGGCTGATGGCCAATCCTAATCAAATGAATATTTATATTAATTACATATATAACGACAATCAAGATTTTCTTATAGCAAAAATAAGAATGTTTACTTTTTTCTTTTCGAACATAATACAAACAGCTTGCATGACGACTTCAACCATATGCGGCGGTTTAGTAAATGTACGAACTTCACCAATGGATTCTTTTTTCAACCGTGAGATAGCTTCATTGGCTTTTTCAACAGCTGGTAAAGCTTGATTGAGATCACGTTGAGCATCATCTTTCATTGCTTGAGTTTCTTCAGCTTTCACACGAGCAACAGCTTCATCTTCCATGACAACACGACGTACCTATGAATATCGGAAAAATAGATCAATTGCTACATTATGTTTCTTTTTTTCTTGCCTCATCAGCTTTTTCTTGATCAATAGCGAGCGTTTCCATAAGTTTCGCTGTTTCATCAGATTTCTTTTTCAATTGTGGTTCTAATGCCACTAATTCCAATTGCATTTCTTCAACTAGTACATTTGTTTCCTCCAATTTTTTCAAACCACGTTGAACACGTGCTCGAGCATTTTCAATTTCTCTATAAAATTCAATCAAAAACAAAACAAAAAACATTCAATTTCAATTTTCAAAAACAAATCTCTTTACTTTTTCTTATCATTAAGCATCATTAAATATAAATTAATTAATTCAAGATACGATGTCGGCGTTGTATAATAATATCTTCTGAGTTCTGCTAATAGCTGTTTAGCTTTTGTCGATACACTCATATGTATTTCTACGCACATTTTTGCTAATGCACCAACCATAAATTCTTCGCCTTTTGGCCATGGATATTTTTCAAATGATGTATGTGCAACCGACAACAAAGCTTCTCGTGGCCATTCAGAAAACCAATCAAGTGTACAACAGTTGACAAGTGATGGAAACATACGGCAACGTGTTCGAAACGATGAACCAACAGGTGACATACATAATACTAAATGAAGATTATTTCGGACACGATTTATAAAAAATGTATAAATTCCATCACGATCATTTTCTGCAACGCCAGCTTCTTTTGCAGCGGGCTATGCAAATGGTAAAAATAAATTCTACCGTTAATATTTCAGCTTTTGTTTTGTTTTACTTACACGACATCCAATAATCATTTTTTCGTATTCATCTTGTTTGTCAAATAAATTAGGTACTTCACCTGAATTAAGAATATTATTAACATCTTCAAGAAATTCTTCAACAACAATTTGATTATCCGTAAATAGAAACACAGTATTTTGATTGTTTGGTCCAGCTTGTTCGTATAATTTTTTCAAATCTTCATGAAAACTATCGTAATTATAGCCCCGTGATAATTCAATTTGAAAACATATATACCCACACATATGACTAGCAAGACGTGTCAATGATTGTTTTCCTGTACCACCAACACCAACTAATAATGCATTACCACGATCTTGTCGTATAATACGAGCTATACGTGCTATATGTTCAATAGCATCCATGAAAAAGACTAAACGAGTATTTTTATTATTTGTTAAATTATAATCTTCTTGATAGTCTTGTAAAATATTTCGAATTTTAGTCATGTCAGTTATTTCTTCGTAGAGACGTTCATTTTTCGGCGCACCAACTTTCATAAAATCGCCAAAAACAATTGGCTTTTGAACAAATGTGGTTGGTTCAATTTGAATAGCAAATAAACGTGTGGCTAATTCTGAAAGCATCGTATGGTAATATTGTTTATCATCATCGTTTATTAAACGATCATGAAATACGCGCATCGATTCATGAAAAAATACACGAACTAAAGCATCACGATCAGATACACTTTCTGGTTTGACCTATTGATCAAAAGAAGCAAAAATTGAATTAATAAAAGATGATGAGTATTAATCTATTAAAACAAAGAAATAAATCATATTCTTACTTGTAAAATTCCTTGAATACATTTTGATAAATCTCGAAGATTGAACACATAATGAGATTTTGTCGGTGTTGGTAATAATTCCGCACTCATACGTGAATAAATTTCTACAGCAGCATCAATAATGCCATCACCAGCTGTTTTAGTACTTTGATTAAAATCTGCTAAATAACCATTGAGAATCGATTTAAATATATGTTTAAGACTATATTCAGATGGTGCTGGTATAGCAAATATAGCAAAATGTCGAAGAAGACGCGCTGTAGTTGCATTACGACCACCACCCGGTGGACCACATGCAGCACATAGGATCACATCTTGAATCTCAATCCATTTCAATGTTTCACGATCATAGAGACCACCAAAATCTTGATATTGTCGTAAAAGTTCACTATAGAAAAATAAAATAAAATTTGCACAAGGAAAAACAACCAAGATATTTACATGGGTGGTTGTGCGCCGTAGGTTTCAAGTTTCGGCATATTAAGATCATCAATTAAAATAACCATACGTTTTCCTCGCGGAGGCCCTAATGCACCTTTCTTTCGTTTTTCTAATTTCGGTACAATCATCTCTTGTGTTCGTTTACTACTTGTCTGAGCTGAAAAATTTAGAAACAATGGCACAACACTTTGTTCCTCAGCTAATTTCAATAGTTGTGCACGTGCAATAACAGTTTTGCCAACACCTGTTTCACCAGTAAATAAAACAGACTTATTGACTGAAACCAATTTATCAAGTAAATAACCAAAACGGCATGAATCAATATTGGGTACAAGTAAATCAAAAAATGGTTTCGTTTTATCATATTTAAATGCGGGAACACTTTTTTCCCATGTTTCCATTCGACGATGATGTACATCAATTTCATATGAAAATAAGTCTCCACCTTGACCTAATTTTGCATCAGCATCTTCTTCGAATTGTTGCCGAACGAATGTATCGAATTGATCCCAGTCTTTAGAATTTATATTACCACCAACACTCCATACATAACAAAAGGCAAAGGTTGTTGCAAGCATGATTTTCATTTTTGCTTCTTCTAGTTTAAGATCAATTTTACTATCACTTGTCAATAGAGAATCAATCAAACAACACAATGTGATTACTTTACCAATATCAACCTAAAGATTAATATAAAAAATTCAACTTTTTGGATCTATATCGAACAGTAGAATATAAGAAAACATCGAAAAACCCAACGAAAAATAGAATAAATGAAACTGATCAAGACGAGCATTTTGTTTCCAATGTGAAAATATGATAATGACATAGATACAGATTTTTCTCTTGTGTTTCTGATCAAATCAAATTTTTTTTTCGATCCATCTTTATTTTGAGAGCTTCTGAAATTTTGAATTAGTAGAATTTTATTTTATTTTACAATAAACAATGTTTCATAGATATATACTATTAGTTTGGTTTTTTTTCAGATAGACTTTGGTCGGCATATTTTCAAAAGCTGAGAGAAAACAAACTTAATATTAGTTTTAATCATACCTGTTTAACGATTTCTTTACAACTTTTTCGTACGAATGTAAGACCTTTATCAACATGAGTATTGAATAAACTCAAAAGATACTCTGTATATAATTCGCCAAATTTTTCTTCAAATTTTCGACTCCACGTTTTCACATATGGAAGCCAACGTATGTCATTTGAATCAATGTAAACCATACCGCAACTTAGAAAATAAATATTAACTATTCAAGCGCAAAACAAATAAAATAAGTAACATACCGACTGACAGTAGCTGGCGAAGCACAAGCTAAATCTTGTACTTCAAAGACCATATGCATGTAGGGTGAATATTTAATACGTTCACTATTAGCTAAACATAACCTGTAAGAATAAAAATTAAGTATTCCTCTATATTCCTGAAAGATAAAACTTACATTTTGTTGTCATCAAGTACAGTATTTAAATTTTCAATCCAAACAGCATCAACTGGGCCTATAATAATAATAATAATAATAAGGTAACTAAAATTTTTATTTTTCGATAAATTTTAATAAAATATACCATCACAAATAATCCAATGGTGATCATGTGATTGATCATTAACACATTGTCTAACACTACTGCCCATAAGACCATCTTTCCATTCCATAGTCGTTTTATTAAATTCACCATATAGTTCACCAGCTGTAATCGATTTTGGATTAAGTACATATGTATGTACAGGCTGATAAAAATGATATGGAACACCCTTGGAATGTAGATCTGTTAATGAATCAGCTAATATTCGATAGACAGTTGTTTTTCCACCTAATGTCGGCCCGACTAACATAACACCATGCCGGATAAGCATTGTTTCATAGAACTGTATAACTTTACGTAGTTGAGATTCATCTGTTTGTAAACCACGGCGAATTTGCATTTCAATTATTGTACGACGTAATTCGCCACTATAAAAAAAAAGTAATTGATCGTAGAAAAATTGGTATTAGTATTCAAAAAAGAAGATTTTCATAAAAATAGCTAGGAGCAAATGCAATTCAATCAATTTAAAAATATTTCTATCGCTTCTAGTAAGAGATTCTTTTCGAACGAAGCATTCTACTTACTAATCGTGTTCTGGTAAAAGAACATTTGGAAACAAATCTTGTATAATAGCTTTAAATAAGATAGCATCATCAGTTAAAAATTTCGGTAAATTCGAATCACGCAAAGCACGAATTAAAACAAGGTCTTCGTCAATGTTTGGACTTTCACGTTTCAGTACACCAGCCATAACTAAGACTGATTTGACGGCACGCATACCAAAATCATAATGATCTTGTTGTGATAATTGTTCCGAACATAATTTATACATTTGAACCATTTTACGTGCTAAAACCTTGGAGTTTTCGAAGCCTTCAGAATATAAAATAACTTCAGCAATAAGACGATAATCAGGAACCATCATAGATTGTGGTCGAAACAGAGCTTTCAAATTGTCTGGTAATTCTGTACGACCAGCATAACCTGGATTCATGGTAATCTAAATTAGACATAGCCATAAGAAAAAAGAAGCAGAATTTCTTGAGAAAATACTTACAAAAACAGCACAAGTTGATACAAGTCGAATTTCACGACCTTCAAACATAAATGTTGATAACTAGAATAAAACAAAAGTTTGAAAACAATTCTCTTTCTTTTTGTATATATTATACTTTAGCTGCTTTGGCGTCACGAATAGTAATTAATTGTTGAGCAATAACACTGAGTACTTCAATGTTAATTCGATTAAACTCATCAAAACATGCCCATGCACCTAATCATTCAAACAAACAAAAAATAGGGATCATTTCTTTGTCATGTTGAAATAGAAACATACCTGATTGTGCTAAACCACTAAAAAATCGACCCATCATCTATTGAATAGTAGAAGAAAAAAAGTGAAATAATATAATTTTCATTTTCAGCAAACCTTATAATCAACTTGGTCACTACAATTAAATACAACGCATTGTTTAGCTAGTGCTTTTGCTAAATCCTATGAAGAGTAAAAAATTTAATTTCACTTTTCTTTTAATTTATTTTTCTAACTTTAGTTGTTTCAGTTTTTCCTGTACCGGCTGGACCAGCTGGCGCGCCACCAAGATCTAATTGTAGAGCACCCATTAAACATAAGTAACATCGATCCTAATTTAGAAAACAATAAAAAAAAGACGAACTTAAAAACAAATCAACATACAGTAAGTGGTGTAATAACCAGACGATCAGATGCCCCTAAATATTCATAACCATAAATATACTGTGAATTTGCCATGCGAATAACAGTTAAATCTTGTTCAAAATAATAACGTAATTGTTTTAACCATTCAAAACTTGCTATACTAGCATTCTTTAATAGAAAAATGGAAGAGAAAATATCGTTAAAAGCAGAGACGTTTTCAATAGTTCAACAAACCTTTATTTGAACCATCTCAGAAACTATATCACGAGCATGTACATCAATAGTGATTAATGCTCGACAAACATCGCGAACAAGCTAAAAGAAAGATTACATTTCAATGAAAAACAAAAAATAGCTTCGATTTCGTTTGTTACTTGTGGTAGTTCTTTGCGGACAAGTGCAGCTAATTTATTTAAATCTAGATAACTTTTTTTTTCGAAATCTTCAAGAGTTGCTTGTCGTATGGATTCGTCACTTGTTAGTATTTGTGTTAAAGCAACACACCAGTATGTTTGAGAAACAGTAAGAACACTCTAAAAACAATAGAAAATATTATCAAAAATAGAATTTTACATTGGTTTTCTTCTAATTATTATGATTATTATTAATTTACTTGATGTGCATGTCGAATGAGCCATTCTTCACGGATACTTTTTTCAAAATCATCTTTCGCTCTTTTAATACATGTTCGAACAGCTGTAACCATATTTTTTTCAACTTGTTTAAGCCAATCTTCTACATTACCAGTTGCTTTAACTTTAAGTACTTCAACACGTTCGCCTTCAGGTGAAAGCATAGCACGAATTTCTGGTGCCATTGTAACAGTCATTTCCATATCTTCGCCACCTTTACTAGCAAATTCGAGACGATTAATACCTTCAAAGCATTTACGTAAATGTGGTTGCACAGCCATTGGATTTCGTGTTTGTGATAGGATTTCAAGTAATTCTTCATCAGATAAGAAGTAGAATCTAAATAAAAGAAAGTAATGCATTCAAAACAAAACAATATGAGTAAGTTAATCGAAATTACCGTGGAAAGTTCGAACGTTTAGTTTCAAGGTACGAAGCAAGTGCATGTTGAATTTGATCAAGTAACGCATTGTTGGTTTGAAATAATTCCAAATAACCTTAAAAAGAATTAAACCGATCATATGATTCTATTCAAAAGTCATTTTTATTAACCAGGTTGTGTGCCAGCTTTAATAGCTAATGGAATTTTATTTGTTTTTCTCATAACATCTTTAAATGTTTTATCGACTTGATTGAACATTTTAGCTTCAGCTGGTAGCTGTCGTTGAATATCAGGTGCGCCAAATATTGATTCAAGATATTGCCAAGTTTTTTGGCATTTTGACCATGCATCAAGTGTTTTACCGAATAGATCAAGATTAGATTGCCATTCTTCAACACGTGAACGGATTGGACCAACATGACGTGAACTAGCAATGGTTGCTATGTTAATATTTGCATCGTCGAGTAATTGAATGATATCATCGGTACCACCAAGTATGTAGACATCTTTATAGTCTTTATATGGAACAATGGGAAATTCAACTGATTTCCAAGAATCTTCAACCTAGGAAAACAATGTGTTTCTTTTCTGATGAGAGGAGATAGAAAAAAAAAACTTTTTTACTCGTTTAAGAATGCCTTCAAGACTAGCTTCGGAACTAGCTTGGCCAGAAATTTCTTGAACTCGTTCTTCATGTTGAAAGGCATTGATATCAATCAATTTGCCTAGTGACAATTGTTCTTCTACGGTGGGGTCTAGGAAGAAGAAAAAGAAAGAAAATATTTAATGAATCTTCCGGAAAATCTTTTAAGAAAACTTACGAAATTTAATTAAATCTTCAATAACATCCCAATGGCGACGACGAAGACTTGGATTTCGAAGATTAACTATAGTAGGTAGCTAAATAAAATTTTCATATCAACTCAGTGTTTACTAATTAGTATGATTATGTTTAAAAATAATATTCGAAAATCTTTATACAAGACATGCTCAATCTAGCTTTTACTCATTTCAGGTACCGAACTATCAGCTTTTCGATTTCAGTAAAAATCATACGAATTTTTAATGATGCATATAGCAAGTGCTATCATTTGCAAAACTCATTGTAAGATGTTTTTCTTAGAGCAATAGTTCAGATCGGTGAACCGTACGAGATATATCTATATGCTGAATTACGCATTTCCAAGTGTAATACGATGGCTTTTATTTCTGAACATACTTTAGATCGAAGTGATTCCACTTTTTCTTTCAATATTGGTACTGATTGATTTGGTGGTAAACCACGTTCTAGTTGATAAACATTTTTTCCGTATTTATTAACAATACCAGTTAATTGTTCATGATCTAGTTTATTGAAATCCATAGTTTGAAATTCTTCCAACATAGTATCCCATTCATTTAATGAATTCCATAATAATTCCTTTAATTTTAATTCACCATAAACTTCTTCTAACTCATCGAATTTAGTGACTTCGACTTTGAAGTTCTTTTGATATAGACGATATTCTGTTGATGTACGTTGTTGTAGATCGATCTTTTTCAAATAATCATCTAGTAGTAATTTAACTTTATCTTTATCAGCTGATGGATCCAGCAGTAATGGATTTTGCGAATCTTGTTTTATTTGTCGAACTTCTTGTGTTAATATTTCAATATCTTTATCAAGTAAAGTAACAAATTTTGTTACATTAGCATCACGTTCAGTTAATGCTTTATCCATAGCATTACGACAACCATTTAGTGTTGTTGTCAATGAACTGTATGAAACGATATCTTCGGGCGGACATGGAACTTTGTATTGCTCAATTAATTCGTACATTTGACGAACAACTTCAGTTTCTTGTTCAAGTGGATCAATACGTTCTTGAATTTCATCAAGAAATGTTAATGAATCAACAAAATCAAGTGTTGCTTCAGGTTTAGTTTCTAATTTAACTGTTGCATCTTGCGCTTCAGCTTTCAAGGCATCGGTTTTAGCTTTAGCAATCTTCGGCATGATTTCATTAATAACATCCAATATTCTTTTCAAAATAAAGCAGTAATAAATTTCAAAAAATTATACGGAAAAAGACTCTAGTATACCTTCGTGGTGATGGTTCTAATTTTGTTTTCGTATGCGTACTATCGATCATTAAAAGACCTAACGGCTTTTTAGCATCGATTAATTGTGCAATTTTTTCTTGACGAGTATATGTAGCTAATGAAGTACCAAAAAACTCCACATCTATAAAAAAAAAATAATTACTACTATAGAATAAATAAAAGAAATAATCCTACCATGTTGTTCAACTTTAAGTGCTTCGATATCAGTATTTTCGTTTTTAACATAGAATCGATGGAATTCATCAAATGTATCAGCATAAATTTTAGCTGCATTAAAACCAGCTTCTAATGAATCACTACAATCTTTGATCAAATCTTGAAAATGATAATCAGCTGTAAACATGTTACGAAGATCAGGTCCGTCGCCTAATAATCATAATATTTTATAGGGCATTTTCTTTCAAACAAACAATAGATAACATACCACATATTTTATCTTCATATTTTTCATTGATATACGGTCGAGTAAAATTATCAAATGCTCCATCAGGTATAAGATTATCAATTGAAAGTAAAGTTTCTTGAAAACTCTTGATAACATGATTAATACCTTTGGAAAGAAAGAGAGAGAAACATGTCGTAAAAAAATGCGAAAATAAATCATCTATAAATACTCACCACCTTGAAATGTGATCGAATCTGGATGATATTGAAGAGCTTCTATAAATAATTTCATTTCGGTGACAAACAGTGGTATATGACGTTTAGTTGCTTCATCTTCCTATGAAGAAGAATTTTCATGATAAAATAAAATATTTTCTTTTATTAAATTTTTTACGTCTCCTGGTCCTCGAAGACCAGGTATCGGTGGTGGATGTCCTTGTGTTGGTGGTTGATGTTGTGCTTGTTTATTGTCTGCTGCTGGATCTTCAACAGGTTCAGGTACAGCTACTTTATCAACTTTATGTTTGATTTCATCCACATAACCAATAATTTCGTCTTTGCCAGGTGTAGCTTCAAGTTGTTCGAGAAAATGATTTTTAAGTGATTGTACTGAATTAACAGCAAGTACATGAAATGTATTGACAATTAAATAATCACATAAACGAATGAAACTATTATTCACAAGAAGAAAAAGATAGATTACTACTTCCAAGTTCTTGTCTAAACGTATCCTTTACTTTGTTAATCTTCGGCAATGTGATCGTTTATTTGCTTGTTCAGCATACGTCGCTTTATCAGGTGGCTGTGCTAATGTATCAATATCCATACTGTCTGGCATTGATGAAGCATTACCCGGTAAATTATCTATCAAAGACAAACATCAACAACATACAGTTCATCAGAAAATATAATATGAATGATAATACCATTTGCAGAATCAGCTGGATGAAGAAAATCATCAGGTACAAAACCAGCTTCAAATAAACGTGTTCGACAGGCACTTGCGACAACATCTTTCACAAGATCACGAAATTCTTGAAGACGCTGTGCAACTTGAGTTAATGTTTGATTTTGACTTTCAGTAAACTATATGAAAAAATCGGCAAGATTAGTTGAGTTCAATTATATAACAACTTTTACTAACTTCACTTAATGTATACGTATGTTTCTTTTCGATTTTACAAAGACTCATATCACTAATACGAAAGCACATTTCTCGAATATTCAATAGTGCAGGTCGTAATGCCTACAAATGTATACCAAGAAAATCAAATGGATTTTTGCTTTTTGTAATATTTATTATTTACATCTTGTAATAAAAACAGATGATCATTGAGTCCTTTTGCTGCAACAGTTACTTTCTTGATACGAATATTTTTATACCAGACCATAAATGCTTTCCACATTCTTGAAGAAGAAAACATTAGTTCTTCATTAGTATTTGAGATGATAAATCAAAAAAAAAAGAGATTACCTGAATGTTGTAAAGACTTTAATCTAAATTACGATCGAGATTAGTTATTACTAGACATAATTAAATGTAAGAATTCTACCTGAATAAGTCGAGTATATCGATAATACTCTTTAGCAAAGTTTTCTAATGGAGTAAATTCGACTTCTTCTCCTGGGCGATAATAACTAACACCTGAATTCGAAATAGTAAAATATTCACGTCCACATTGTTCGTAGCTAACCACTCTGAAGTAAAAAAAACAAAACAATTTTAAAATTATAAGAAATCTATAAAAAAAATAAAAATAAATAGAACGAACTTTAAATTGTAATAACTATGACGTGTGTCGTTGCGTGAATATAAATGAGCCAAATATAGAAAGAAACCATCAGGTGCTTGTCTTATGTACTTTATCACTTTATCCATATCTGTCTCACCATGTAACATCTCTGCAAATAAGAAAAACAAGTAATCTAAATGAAAATTCATATCAATTATTGGTTACCTCGTGGATCAAGTTGATGTCGTTTATTTGATATACTGGAACCCCAATCGGAACCAATATCGCTTCCTTTACCTAATTCTGAGTTTCTACCATTGATCTAAATTATGGAAAATATTTTAATAAATAAAAAGTATTTTATATTAACAAACCGGTGGCAAGGAGAGTTTTGCACGTTTCTCAACTGGTGTTTCAGGAGATGATACACGTAGTTTATTTGCTTCAATTAATTGTTGTCGATTACGTGCTTGAATTTCTTTTGGATCATTATGTTTTTGGTATCGTTTAAGTACTGGTAATGGCTCAAATTTGTGTTCGACAGGTGTCTGTTTATTCCAATATGCCCGATAATGGTCACCACCAGGCACTTGTGGGGTACTGGTTTTACCGTCTTGAATTGACTTGAGCGGATGTGAAACTAGTCGATTTATTAGACGATTTTGATCCACGTTGCCATAACGAAAGTTACCTGAATTGGTCGATGATGGTATCATTCCACCATCAGCCATTGCTTAGTTTATGATAGGTATGTATGAATGAAAATAACGATTATTCAAGTACACACGAAATCATACAGACATTCTGTATAGTCGTTGTCATAACAAAACCCTTAAACTCGGCAGACATATCTAGCGACATCTGGTTAGATGGCGACTTCAATTGCAAAAATAATACAGAATAGATGTGTGTGCGTGTGTGTGTGTGTTAATGAATATTTTAGGAATATGATTATTTTTCTCCACTTTATTTTGCTATGAAAATATGCTTATCATATGATCTCGATTTTTAGAATTAAACTATTGTTAAAATATGTTTTCGTTGTTAAATTGTACAATGCACATATTTTTAGTGGAAAATTTACGTGCATATTTAGTATATGTGAAGTGTACGATTAATTTTGACTCAAATCACAAGATGTCATATCCTTAGTATTTCTGTATCTATCTATCGATCACAATGAATTTACAGCAGAATGGTGCATCATCCATGCTCGAATGTTATGCAACACAAATTGTAGTCTCCAGTTTGCTTTATTTCTTCTAGTATGTGTACATAAGAAAGTTTTCGAACAGAACTGACTTATTCTCACATGCGACAATATAATTTGCATACATGCACAGATTTGAATGAATGCAGCAAACATGAATATAGTAAACTCTGTTGCAGGTACACGTGTGTCCTGTCAGAGAGTGCATCGTGTACATTCGGATAGGTTTCCGCACGTAGTGACATATTTTTTTATAAGTTTTCATGTGTCATGTAAAAGTTTGATCTAGAATTTATTGTAGTAAACAGTTTGAAACACTAACTATCAATGATATCGACGAAGATTGTTATGCTGTTTTCTTTTTCCTATCGTCAAGTCTTAGAGTACAGACAATTTTTTGAATAATCGGAACAAAATTCAACAGCAAACAATGAAAAACCATACTTTATTAGCATTTGTTATCTTCCAATCGAGCTGAAAAAAATAAGATCAGTATCTATTTGACAACTTTACAAAGTCAAAAGTAATTATTAAAGAAAAGTACCGCTAGGATAGAGTAAAAAATGTTACAAAAAGCATCCGAAAATTAGAATTTTCTATTCTCGTAGATACGTATAAAAAGAAGTGATTAAAATATTGGATTTAAGTTTGGGAGTAGTAAGATGATTATTATGTAATCGTTTCTTCGTCTGGAACACTTTGAATAATTTCAGCAATATCATTAGGATCAATTTCGACAAGAACTTCAATATTACCTTCATATGAAGAATGGCAATAGAAGTTTTACCTTCCTTTGGATCTTTAACTTCGTCATCTTCAGCAGCTTGTCTTAGCTGTTCATCATTGTCACCTGCTATTTTGAATTTTAAACCTTTTGGACTTTGACTATATTCAAAGTAACTACCATCAGCTATTCGATTTACATGTTCACGTAAAACTTTTATATTTTCGAATGTTACTCTATACACATTTCTTGGTCTGTCTAGACTTTTAGCTAGACCACTGTGCACAAGGGGCGTAATCATGGCGGGGGGAGAGGTGGGGTCTATGGAGGGCCTCCCCCCCCCCCCCCCTAGAAAAAATAAAATCCTGTGAAAAAATAAGTTTAGCTTCCCCTACGATAGTTTTGACTAACAACTTAGTCCCCATCCCCTACAATTTTTTTCTGGTGATGCCCCTGCTTTGTACATCGACCAGGAGAACTATAAACTCTAGTTGTGCTTTGGATAAATGTTCAATAGCTTGTCCTTTCCCTTCTAAAACCATGATTATGACTGACTATGTTGTACAACAATTCTACAATGAATGAAATATGAGTTTTTATGCATATTGTTTACTTTGTTTGAAATATAAAAAAAACAGAACTAAAGAAAGTAGCTTATAATAAATGTCGTGAATCAGAAGAATGCAGAAAAGAGATGATTGAAGCAAATTTATATGTGAATTCGAGAGCTTCACAATTCCTTTATCAACAACATGAATAAAATAAAGTATAGTATGTTGCCAGTGGCACTTTTCAGAAGTGAATCTTCATTATTTCATTTTCTTATAATACGATGAAATGTTACTCGTAAAGAATTTATTTTTCTTTCTTTCTTTCTATTTTATTGCTACTCTTGCTTACGGAGTGCTGAATAATAGGCAATTACTCTGAGAACAATCGAACAAATTGGCAATCTATTTTTAAGAATAAAATTTTCCTCATTACGAACGATCGATATTTTAGAAACAATCACCTCTTCGAACGATTTGCTTTTTCTGTCAAATTCAAAAATCAGATATCGATCGTTATTCTACATCTAGCTCAAGATAGATATATGGAAAGTATTAAAGTCACAAAATATGAAGCATGTGTGTGTATAGGCGCTTTGCGCAAACAGATTTCTTTGTATCAACCACTCTATATAAAAACTAAAGAATACGCAAAATGAAGAATCCTTTCTCCAATAGAAATGCTAATAAATTACGTAAAGCAGGTATGACTCATATGATATACTGACTTTACGAAACCAAATTGCAAAACGCGTCTATGTTAATTTTTACAATGATATGCCGATGAATTGCTAGTTTATTAATCATGGCTGAGAGGAACAATTTATTTCTTGACGACAAATCGACGGAGTTGTTTATATGGAAAAAACAATTAAAACAAAAAGGCTTGGAACATATATCTGCTGAGCAGCTGGAAACAATCACAAAGCAAAATATCGAAAAAAATAAGGTAAAATAAACTCATTTTTTTTGTAAATATTTCTAATCAATTATTTTTATAGTTAGAGAGAGAAAAATTAGAACAACAAAGATTAAAAGGTGAAAAAGAAAAAAATATTTTCAAACGTATTAAAGCCGTTGAACAACATGATCAATTGACAAAAGAAGAAGCATCGGTAAGAAAATCATCTAATATAGAAATAATGTATTAAAAATCATTTTTCGATTTTAAGTTTATTTACAATCAATCTCTACTTCGTGCTAAAGTTCGCATCAATGAAAATCGTGCAAAACCAATCGATATACTTATCTATCACGTTGAAGATCACAACGAGAATCTAGATATTGAATTGTATGAACCATTGGCTTACCTAAAAAAATTATTAGCACAAGATCTTGAAGAGCTGTTAACTGATATACATGATTATATTGACAAAGATATACAGCAAAGTATACATAATTTTAATGAACGCTATTGGCACGATATACAAATAATTGTAAAGGATGAATTAAAAAAACACTTGTCGAATAACGAAGATCGATCTGATGGTGTTCATTCAGCTGTTATGCCTGACATACTGGAAATATTAAAAAATAAAACAACTCGACAATTGGAAGAGCTTGAACAATCGATCAAGTATGTTTTGTTTTTATTTACTTTTATTTTTTGAATTTAATCACTATAGTTTCTCAGAAGAGAACTCCTTCAAGAAGTAAACTACATCTGAATCGAGTCTTGCATCATTCGTTACACCTCACTATGATTAGACATTGCCTATTATGATGGTTACTTTCTGTTCGTACAATATTTATTTTCCTTAGTTATGTTCTAGAAGATATGCATTCACGAGAGATACAATATTTAACAAAGGAAAAACATTGTTTTATTCAAAACCTTTGACTCGTGATGTCTTACAACTCGGAGATATCACTTTATCAGCGCTAATATACTTTCTGTTATTTAACCTGACCGTGCTGCATGTGCAAAAGGAGCACAGGAAGCTCACCCTATTCTATAAATCTGTCTATAATTGTTTTTCAAAATAAAACTATTTCTAATATGTCACTGTAAAATTTTTAAGAAAAAAAGAAAGCATGCATATTTATTGTAATCTTGGAAATCATGGTAGATGTATTGCACAACTTATATTTGACTTTAAAAATAGCTATTGTTAGAATTATAGAAGAATTTTAAGAATAACTTGATTCGTTTTCTTATTTAGTGAACGAATTGCAGATGGAAAAAATATTGATATTTCTTATTGGGAATCATTATTGTCTCAATTGAAAATTAGTTTGGCTCGATCACGTATTCAGGATCGTCATCAGTTATTATTAGAAAAAAAATTTAAAAAAATTAACAATGAACAACTATCTATAAGCAAAGATCAGGAAACAGAATCCTTCGAAGATTTAGAAGATAAATGTTTACATTCTTATGACAAAGCTCATTATTCGCCAACATTAATGAATATAGATAAATTTGATTTCGAAATTCAAGAACAATATATAGATGAAATCGATGATACCAATATGTTGCAACAACAACGTCAATCAATTATGAAATCAGGATCTATAAAAGTAATAATCATTAATTATAAATATTTAATGCTAATTAATATTCTAGACTGATATGGAAAACAATTGGCAAGATTTTATTTCAAAGTTCGAATCAGATAACGACACAACTATTGGTATAGTCCCGATCGATGTTGAATATATATGGTCAGATAAGTATCAACCAAGAAAACCTCGTTTTTCCAATAGAGTTCATACTGTAAGTATTTGTTTTGATTTATATAGAGTTTCTAATTACTTCTTCAATAGGGATATGAATGGAATCAATATAATAGAACACACTATGATAAAAATAGCCCGCCACCGAAAACTGCTCAAGGTTATAAATTTAATGTAAGCACTTTGCCAAGGATTCATTATATAACATCTATTGATTCTAGATCTTCTATCCCAATTTGATCGATAAAACAACGACTCCATCATACGATATAGTATGCATTTTTACGAATTTCTGATTTTGATAATTAATTTTTTCTTTCTATTTATAGATGGCTTGTGAAGATAATAAAGATTTTTTGATTATTAAATTTCATGCTGGACCACCATATGAAGTAAAAAGATTTTTAAAACCAATTCATTCAAATTTATTTATTTAATTATCTAGGATATTGCATTTAAAATTGTAAATAAAGAATGGAATCAATCAAATAAAAATGGATTTCGATGCCAATTTCAAAATAATATTTTTCAACTGTGGTTTAACTTTTCCAAATGGAAATATCGGCGTTAAAATTTTTTCTTTTTATTGTAATTGTTTACAATTAACGTTCTCTTAAATTTTATTATATTTCTGAAACAAAATCATGGCTACTTCAGAAAAAAGAACATAAATTGCAAAAGTTTATCTATTTTAATGCAAAATAACAATACTCTCTAAGTAAACATGTCTATACTTATCTTTCAAAGTATGCCCAAACAAAATAAAATGTTAGAATAAACACTATTGTGTGGTTTATGTATCTTCGCATTGTTTTTCACAGTTACAAAAGCTATTGCAGTACTATTTACAACATATTATATGTAATTACTTTGAGCACAATTATTGTACAAATATGAAAATTAGTTAATATTTGTTTAACATACATGACCATTCGAATTGCATGTAACTGTTGCAATTCAGGAGAAGGTCATGATTTTTTCCGAAAGATATGCATCGAAAGCAACACGTTCATTTTTTTAAATTCAATTAGCTATTAAAGAAATTTTCTTTTCGATCTACAATGATACAGGAATGTACAAAAAACGCCTCAAATATATCTTAAGTGATTGGGATTGTAAGCGAAATTTCCTAATTTATTGTTCCGCTGTGAGTCAAGATCATGTAAACTCAAATAATATCCTATAAGGAGTGTATGTCGTTTAATTTGTTGTTGTGAAGATTCAAAAATTATATACTAGTGGCTTCTAAACAAATACTGTTGTCATGGTTAAGAACAGTAGCTAAATTAATCCTCGAAATTGAACCATTAGACGAAACCAGTCCTTATCGGAAATAGTTTCTTTTTGAACTTTCAATTTTCACCGCGATTTAATATTCTAAGAGTACAATAAGATATGCAATAAGGATACGGTATCACTATGTTGCAAAAAGTTCAAATTCAAAAACAATGAATCAATTAAAATGTTCTCCTGGTTAGGCACTATATGAAAGTAAGAAAGTTCGGTAGATTTTTCTTTATCTAATCCGAGAAATGCTGATTACTAAAAATCGTTGATTACGTAGTGTCTAAGATTTCATTGTAAGGCATTCAATGTAAACTTTCAAATAAATATTTTATTTCAAACTAAACGTAAAAAAAGTTATACGAAAATAATGCATAGCTATTGTCTTCATATTAGGAAACTAATATTTATCACTTTGGCTGAGCTTTTGTTTTAATATATTCGTCAATAATATTTTCTAATATGTTCAACGGCAATGAACCATGCAATAAAACCGCTAAAATAAAAAATAAGAACATAAATATTTATCTAATTATTCAAAAATTATTTCAATCATGTTATACCATCATGAAATTCTTTTAAATCAAATTTATCGCCAAGTGCTAACCGAGCTTTTTCTCGTAATGATAAAATGACTTGACATCCAACCATATAAGCGCATGCTTGCCCAGGATATACAAAATATCGTTCTACTTCTGTAACAGCTTCTTCCTTTTGCATACATGTATTGGCTACCTGAAATATAAAAATATGCTTGAAATAAAATATAATTTCATCTAAAACAATCACTACTATGTAATCAATAGCTTGTTCACGTGACCATCGTTTCCAATGGATACCTGTGTCAACAACAAGCCTGTGCAAAAGGAGAAAACCTATTGCAAACATTTTGATATGAATACTCCTACCGGCATGATCGAAAAAGTTGAGCATCAAGGTATCCAATATAACTAGGCCATGATTTATGAAAGCCTTCTTCTGCTGCTAATTGTTCTGTATATAAAGCCCATCCTTCCAGATAAGCAGTAAATGGAATCATACGCCGAAAAATTGGTAGATGTTTAAGTGATTGAGCAATACTCATCTTCAAATGAAATCATAAATAAATACGTAGTATTTAAATGTGAAATTTTACTTGAAAATGATGGCCTGGAACAGCTTCGTGATAAGCTAATGTAGCCATTTTGAATTTAATGACTTCGCCAATATTTCGAAGATTTGCAAAAAATGTGCCAGGTGTTTTACCATCAAGTGATGCTGGAAAATAATAAGCACCAGGTGATGTTGCTTCTTTAAATTTAGGTACACGTTCAACAGTACATTTTGCTATTGGTTGACATGCAGGTGAAAAATATCTATGCATTTCATTATCAATATTGTCTATGAGTTGACTGTAATCAGCAATAATTTTTCCACGACTTTCTTCAACATTTTCATATATTTGATCAACGTTATGTTCCAATTTATTGATACTTGCCCGAAAATCATGCCAATTTTCAATTTGTTTTTCTTTTAAAATCCTATAAAAAATGACTTGATTTTTTCCATTGTTTTTTTTAGAAATTACTGGAGCCTATCAATAATGTCCTCAACATTTTTTTTGGCGAATACCACCGAATTCATCAGTATGAATGCACTGTGCTCAAACATCATCGTAATCGGTAAATCCTGGTAAACAATTATAGCTTTCTATCTGCTTAATACAATACATCAATATTAGGATATTGTAGGTTTAACTACTATCGATCAAGAAAACCTTCAGCAGCTTTTTTACTGGAAAAAAACGTCATCAATTTGTCCGTAAAGATGGTGAAAACATTTTTAACTTCAATAAAACAAGTAGGCCTAGTTGATGGAGTTTGATTACATGGTAAATATTCGTGTGTGACGATCTCTTGAGTTTCAGTTAAGAGCGTTAAATGACGTTATACTAGGAAGAGATCAAAAAATTTAATTTGCTCCTTGTGAAACGATTATTCAAACTAACTGCATAGTAGCTATAAAATAAAATGGAGCGCATGTCTAAATGGTTGTACCTTTCTCTATACACATAACATTGTGCCCTTATAGCTATTTGAAAAGTATTTTACAGATATCGATTGTGACGATTTAATTTTAATGTTAAAAAGAGGATTATTTCACCTTCTCATTTCATTTTGAATTCTTTCCACATGTTTCTTGCCAAGTTCAAAAATTTCATCTGGACTCATATTTGTTGTTGTATGAAATTCTAAACAGAGTTTGTAATATTTATCACCATTTGGCAATTTCCAAAGACCATGATCTGTTGTAGCATTTGATAAATCTTCACGAAGAACATTCAATAAACGATCATGTGCTTCAAGGACATCCGTTTGAAGAATTTTTAATAAACGACTGATTAATTCGTTTTGTTTTTCATTCTAAAAATATTAAAACCACTAATAGATTTTTGTTTTCATGGTAGTATTTACCGAACAAATACTGTCGTTGAGGTTTTCAATAAACGAGATCATCAAAGGACTTCAAATAAATTGAATTCGAATGAAATATGATTAAACAATTTCTTTTTCTACCTGTGATTCGGCTCATTTTGTAATTGTTCACGAAATGCGTGAAGACCATCAATAACTCTTTGAAGAACAAACCGAGGTGTCTCGATGTTTCTACGACGTCGTTCTATTTGTTGATCAATCAGCTGATCAAATGCCTTTGATATTCTTTGTACCTTTGAAAAGAAAAAACCAAATAAACCAAATAAAAATTCTTTCAATAGAATTCTACTCGAATGAGATAAGCTTCAGCATCATTTAATTTTAGTATTCGATGATATTTTACTATAAATGATATTATTTCTGTTTGAGGACCCATCATTTGATTGATGAGATAACTATGATAACGAAATTCATCACTATATTCTCTTTTTAAATTCATATTTATGAAATAGTCAATGACATCATATGATTCTTTTTGAGCAGAAGACATTTTCTTATTTTTAAATGATTTCAGGTAGTCGAATTCCTTTAGGAATTGCTTGGCTACATGTTCATCGAACGATAATGAATAATCGGACAACTGTGTATTAAATAAATCTAAACCACTAAACGAAAAAATAGGCATTCTGTTTTTGGCCTTAATACTTTTGTTAAAATGAACACTTACAGTGGCCGAAGTTGAGATAAAATATCAGGTCTCTCAAGTAAATATTCAAAGAAAAACCTAATCGAAAATTGTTTTTCTAATCGAATAACAAATCGTGTATTATCATCTATTACCTTCCATAAAGTATGTTTAAACTAATTGGATTAAAATACGCAATATTTATAATTAATGTTGACCATAAAATAAATATTATTATTGCAAGATGAAAATTGATTAAAAAGAAAAGAACAATCGGCAAAGAACATAGCAAACATGTTAAGGCCAATTTTAATTCTTTCCAATGCCAAGAATTTGGAATTAGTGACATTGAATATTCGCTATTTAGTTCGAGTAGATTGTTTTCTTTATCAATGCATAATCAGAAAATAATCCTTGGATATATGAGCACGTAGATAACGTATCAAATCATGAATTCTAAAGGTAAAGTAGAGGGCGTCACTGAGCAAACTATTAAAAATAGATAATGCCGTTCTTCGATTTCATGTTATTCGTTTTATCAATATTTTCTTTTTGTTTCTTTCAAATAAGACAAATACGTTTAGAATTATTTGTCAAGCAACATACATCGACTATAGTAGGACTACGTCTTTTCAAAGGAAGAGATAGTTTTTCGTTGTTTTATGCGCCCAACCAAAATGGCATAGCACCAAATCGATCGTATTTTCATTTCAGCCATCTTTAGAATTTTTCGAAGCTTATTTTAACAGCACCATATTATCGCTCAACATATTAGGCTGGGTAAAATGTTTCGAAAGTTCAGTTTCGCTTGATCCCTTGATCACTCATGTCTACCGATTTTTAGGCGTTTGTGATATGAATTATTATAGTTTTCAGATAAATTTCGATCAAACATCAGAGGTTCGTATATGAATTTCATTTTTGTCATAGGATTCTCACAAGGCTATACCATAGTAGAATATCAGATTAGAATTGAACAAAAATGTTGTTATATCGTGACTATGAAAAGAAACGTAGTATTTTTTTTTGATGTCACACGAACGAAACAAAGAGAACTAAAATGCATTCGTGTGCCATGGTAAGAACAAGAAATATTGGATGAAGAAAAGTTTGCGTAGTTAATAATCTCAGTCGTAAAACAGTGAACATAATTAATTTTCATCTAAGAATCTTTGACGAAAATTTTCAAATCAGCTGTAAGTCACATTTTAATCAATCGATATCGCAAATATTCGTATATCAATGTGTATGAAATATTGATTCGTGTAATAATTTCAATTTAAAAATCAGAATTTTTGTACTATAAGACTTGAAATGAATCACCTAGTCAAAAATCACTATAAAGTGCAACGAATTCAGAGTACTCAGCTTAGAGGAGTCTGACCGTAATTTTTAGTTTTGAAGCGAATAGATGCTGAAAGATCGAGTTCAACAAATATCTTTTTTTCTTCAATGGTAAACTCTACGTATAGAGGATTTACTAGTATATTGAAAATCCATGATAAAGCTACTATGTGATTCAACTCAGATGAATTCTACTAAATTCAACACACTTAATAGTGGCCTGTGAGTACTTGACTCGTTTTAAGACTTCCGATGATACACTGATGAGCATCGAATAGAAATTATTACAAGCATCATCCTTACATACATTGAAATTCACAATTAGCTCGGAATGTTGCCGTCGTGACATCTAAGCTCAAGTATGCAGTAAAGTCTATATCATCTTATGAATTACATACCTAACATTATTTAGTTAAGTTCTAGTTTACTAACACATTCGTTTCGAATAGTAAAAATCAACGCTTTCTAACAGCTTTCTATTAAAATTTTAGTATATATACCATGATTAAAACTATGTAATAAATAGAAGTACAGTTATTGATAAAAAAAAAATAAATAACGTTCCATGCCGTCAATGAACACAAGCCGACAAAATTTAATTGAAACTGAATATGAACCTGTTACATCATCGCAGAAACTTATCTTATTACTTCAACGTTCGGTTCGTTATTCATACAGACAAAGATGCTGTAAATGTTGCCCAACGATACTTTGCGAACTTCTATTTCCAATAATCATAATATTATTATTAATTTTGAGTCGATATGGAATTAGTAGTTTGGCCGAAAAACAAACCAATGATCGAAGTGTACCTGAAACTTTCAGTAAACAGCAATGTTCACAAGATTTCAATACTCCGCCAACTTCATCAAATGATATATTTCTTAATTGCTTTAAATTTCCACCAAGTTATAATGATTTTCATTGGAGTAAGCAGAGTCTCGATGACATATCCAATAAAACAAATATTGTCTTTGAACCGGATCGAAGCGACATTAGCAAACTTGTTCAACTTGCTAAAATACGTTTAAATACCTTGAAATGTGTAAATACAAACGTTTGGTAAGTTGATATCCATGTAAAAGCACACGCGAGAAACTTATAGTTTATATTATTGTCTATATTTATATACGTATCTGCGCGTACATTTTATAGGAGTCAAAATTCAGATGATGCAACTGATACGCATTTATTGCGAAACAAAACTATCAATACAATTATAGTGGATTTTAGTGCAACATCTGACCTAAAAAGTGAACGAAATCTTGCTTGTGAGTTGATCTATCTATTACAGACTGATGAATTATCATTGATTTCTTACATTGTATCAGATAAATATACGAAGAAGAGTTCAGTAGAAAAAAGTAGCTTCAGAAAAAAAGAAATTGATTGCAGGGAAAAGTTACCAATGTATTCATTTTTAACCATCGAATTATACAGGGCTTGAGTATGATACTTTCCGATTATTGTATCTACGAGAAACTGTTCCGCTGTAAACAGACACAATATGATTCTCTATTGATGGATAGTACATTTTCTGTTGTGTGATCCTGTAATTTTATTTGTTGAATCAATAGTAAAGACTCAGATCCTTCTAAGTTATAAGGGGGCTAAAGTAATCCAAATAAAATTATCATGTTATTCACTACAAATCAACTAACTAGAATTGAATTTGTGCTGAAAAAATCTACACTCAAGTAATTTATTTAAGTAAATTTTATATGTAGTAAATGAACATATGAGTCTGACAAGTATCAATTGTATTTGAAGAATTATTCTTTTACAATTTCTTAGTTTATAATCAAATAATTATGTTTATTATCTGCTTTTAGACAATATTATTGTTCGAACACCCAATACTTTTATCACCAATGATCCTATTGATCGATCATTCATATTGTATAAACATCCAGGTATATCACCAATAATTGTTTATTCTCTAATAAATATTATTTCAAATACTTAGCTTATATTGCCGATCGTTCGAATATAACTGATGGCAATGCTGAGAAAGGATCAGAATTACCGCAATTCACTGATGTAAAAATGTTTGTTGATTCATTACTTATGGAATATCAAACCAATCGGCAAATTCATTTTGAACTTGAACGAAATCTTATGACTTGTACACCATATCGCAATGATCTCCTTTTTAGTAAGAGAAAAACAATATTCACTAATATGTTTTATATCATTTCTTTTCAGCATCGGAACCAATTTTAATTAATTCACTTGTGTTAATGATTGATGCCGTATTTATTCTTCCGTAAATATTGTAATTATAATGAAATAAATCTATTTGAATTCGTATTGATAGATACCTGGTCCTTTTGATCAGTTTGATTCAAGAAAAAAATTTAAAAGTCAAAGAAATTCTTAAAGTACTTGGTATTGAACCTATTCTCAATAATATTGCGCAAGCAATGCGGTGAGAAATTACTAATGAAAAAAATCTACATATGTTTTCACAAAAAATATTTAATTTAATTTTAGAACAATGAGTCATCTTCTTATTTTAAGTCTGTTTTTATCCGTTGCGTACAAATTAAAATTAAAATCTGATGCTTATTTCAATACAGTTAATTTTGGTATTCTTTTTTTGGGCAATGCCACATATGCTTTACAATTAATATCATTCTGCATTATGAATGCACAATTATTTAATACGAATATTCGTGCTGTTATATTTACATTTGTTACTTATTTTGTCGCATATAATATCTATTCATTGACTATCACATGGCCATCAAGTATACAATATTTATTGATGTTCATTTGTCCTTATATTGCGGGGCATTCACTTTTTCAAGTAAACCCCATTCTTATAATGATTTTCATGAATTTTCAGTGTTGCTGTTTTTTTTGTTAATAGCAAGCTGTGCTGTACGATTTAGCAAACAAAGATGTAGAGTTATTTCAAACAATATATCGTTTTGTACCACAATATTTTCCAACATTAATTACTATGCTGCTTAGCTCTGTCTTTTATTGGATACTTTCATGGTATTTAGAAAAAATCTTCCCAGGTAAAAACAAAGTGATAATTACAAACAAGAATGATATGAATAGTTGGAAAATCAATTTTGATGAATGATCATTAGCTGAATTTCATCTACTCGATAAATTTTTATTTTAACTTGAAAATTTTAGGTGAATATGGAGTTCCATGTGATTGGAATTTCGTATTCAAACTAGACTATTGGTGCAGAGAAAACAAGAAAAGTCAGATATCTTCATTCGATAATCATGGCACTATACTTACTAGACCTGCTACACCACTTGTTCAAAAGAATTCACTGGGTACACCTGTTGTTCATGTTGATCGTCTGACGAAGACATTTGGGCCCGATAAAATCGCAGTTAATGAAGTTTCATTTAATTTATATGAAAATCAAATAACATCATTACTTGGACCCAATGGTTCTGGTAAAACAACAATATTCAATTGTTTAATTGGAATCTATAAACAAACATCGGGTACAATAACAATGGAAAGTGAAAATGGACTTGATTATGAAACAAGAAATGATATCGATATGTTGAGAAAATCCATTGGTTATTGTCCACAGCATGATATTCTTTTTGATTTATTAACTGTTGAGGAACAATTGCAATTCTATGCTTCTGCGAGAGGATTTAAAAAATATAAACAACAAATATCAAATGAAATGGTCTATTTGGTAAATCTGCAAAACTCAAAAGATACTTATTGTAAGTCATTATCAGGTGGTATGAAAAGACGACTTTCGTTAGCATGTGCTTTTGTTGGTAATACAAAAATTGTTCTACTTGATGAAGTAATTTTGCTTTATTTATTTATGTGTGTATGAATTAAAATAAGATCCGTGTTGTCTTTAGCCATCCAGTGGTCTTGATCCATCAAATCGACGTTTATTATGGGATTGGCTACGTAAAATGAAAGAAGGAAAAACTCTTCTATTAACAACACATTTTATGGAAGAAAGTGATGCTTTATCCGATCGTATAATAATTATTTCAAATGGAGTTATTAAAGCAGATGGAACATCAGCTATATTGAAAGAACAATATGGATCCGGTAGGATTTTTTTTTATGTTAATCTTTTAATTTGAATATCAGGTTTTAGGTTATAAATTAATTATTAATAAACAAATAAATCATGGTACAAATGAAATAGAACGTGAATTACGTAGTTATTTGCCGGCATTAACTATTGAAAGTGATATTCGAAATGGTGATATTGTTTTTCGTACAAATCAACAACCAGATAATCAATTTGTTGAAGCATTACGTCATCTTGAACTATTGAAAGTGCAAAATCGTATAAAAAGTTTTGGTGTACAAAATAGTACTATGGATGATGTATTTTTGAAAATTACCAAACAGACAAACAATGAAAGTGACTCCGACTCAATATCAATTCATACTGAACGCATAGGTTTGCATTAAATTAGACTCAGATTTTAAAAACATGAATCTGTACGAAGATATTTGAGAAATTCTTTAATAGCTTTGTAAGATAAGAGCACTTACTGGACGCTAAATAACAGTAAAATATTGCACTGGCATCTTTTATAGTAGTGAAAGACTGTAACTCATGTAAATTCGTTTGATAGTTACTGATGAAGATTTTTGCATTCAAGTCAAGTACCATTTTACAATTGCTCAATATTGATTCTATTTTGATATTCATAAAATATAATTTAATAAATTCCGAATATTGTGTGCAGATCCAAATGCAAAATCTTCATTCGTAATTTTTTTCGTCACGAGAAAATGTATTTCTAATGGCGACTGTCATCTCGTGTTCGAATAAGGTCTAGTCTCTTGTCGATGAAAATCGTAGTATATTTAAGCACGCTAATGAATCCGGATTAGTAGAAAACAATCACAACAGAATACAAGCGTTTTTTTTTATAATAGTATGATGTGTATAATGAAAGTTACAGAAGTACAATTCTGAAGCTATTTAATACTAATTAGTTACAATCATGACTTGCAATTACAAGCAGCTGGCTTATAATGTATGCAAAAATATAGGATTTGAATATCGCTTTAGAAACTCTCAGATGCCTTTTCATTCAAATTCTTAAATGTATTTACCAGTGGAATATTCTGCATAAGACAAAATATGACCAACATTTTCCTATAGTACTCATCTTCTTTTAAACTACTACGCTCTACTAAATCTAATGCATAGAAGTGATATTTGCTTGTAAACAGTTATCGAGAGGATTTCGACACAAATTACGTATTGACTGAAATCTCTTATCAATCTATATCAATTTGTTTTATGATCGGGTTCATCGAGCTCATTCTTAGACATGTTCTGGCATTAAACTTGAGAGTATACTTAAATATGAAAGTGCTAAATACCCATATTACATACCGCTAAGCAAGCTATCCCTTTTGACACATTATATTTGTTCGGAAGTCCATTGATAATATTAGTTTCACAATTTAATCTAATAATTGGAGAACATTCCTAAAAAAAAACAGCTTTTATGTTTTTTATTAGATGAAAAATGTCGTCAAATTTTTAATGAAAGAGAATTTTTTCATGGTTGTCGTTATTATCTAAGTCAACTTCATGGTCTGATAATTAAAACATTACTCGTGCGCTATCGTCGCTGGGGACTGACAACAGTTGTTCTATTATTACCAATCATTTACAATATTTTATTAAGCGTTATCTCTCATAATGCAAATGCCGATGGTTCTTTCGAAATGAAACTAAGTTCACTTAATCCACAAACAATTTTATACAAAGTAGATTCAATTATGGAAAATTATTTTCAAGCAGCTGTTGGATCTAAATCAAATGGTTTAGTACTCGAAAAAAGACAAGAAAATATTGTTGACATGAATAGATATATACGGCGTAAGTCTAAGCCTAAGGGGAGAAAAGTCATTCATTACATATTTTTCTTCAGAAAAGCGAATTGATCAACCAAACACTTATACTAATATTTATCTTGGCTTCCAGATATCCGAACCACAAGAAGATGCATACAAGATACAAGCATTGTCATCAAATTTAATATCAGGGCATGAAGTTGTGTCAGTTGCATCGAATATAGTTTTCAAATATGCATTGAATGATACAAGTGCATCAATTCAAACGACATTAATTTATAAAAAGACAAGCACTTTGACAATAGAACCAACAATTGGTAGTTTATTGAATATATTAAGTATAGCATCATGTTTTCTTAAGCTATTGCCAACTTCAATCATATCAGATGTGTAAGTTGTTTCGATGAGAAAACAGGAAAAGTAGTAATTCGTTCATTTTTGTTTATTTAGATTCGTTTTCTATCTAATATTTCTCTATACAACAATATTTCTAGTTAGTGAACGCAAAGACAGCTTTCTATCGCTGCTTAATATTAGTGGTTTACAGTAAGTTTATTTTAAATATTATTTGTAGACATGATTTTTACGCTGAAACTCAACAGATTCGTTTTTCCAAACGATAGGATTGCTTGTGTTATGCTAAATGTATTCATTAACAAGCTATATACATGTTTTATTCGAAGAATTTTCCAAGGAAATTGAATTGCTACCATTCAAGTCTCTATTAGCAGAAAAATGTAACGCTACATTGTTCTATATATAATCATTGAAGAGAGCATTTAAATTCTAGAGTAATATTTATAAGACTGAACTGTGAAGCCAGGATAAATATGTGTATGTTGCATATTTGAGATTTCTATGTATTGTGAAACAACGTTTGCTGTAAAATATTATTCATAAGACAGGATATTCCATAAATAAATATACCCGACAAAGTCAATGAGTTCAGTATATCTCAATCGGCTGGGTTCGCTACCAAATCATTGTAATTCTATTGAAATTTTAGCCCAGCATTCTATTGGATTTTCAATTATTTATTTGATATCGTTATTTCTGTTATTTGGTTTTGTTATCTACTTGTTATATATTGTATATTTGATATTGCCTGTAATGGCACATCAAATAGACGCAGTGAATCAACAAGTATAATACCAATCGAATTTGCTAGTTCGCGGGATTTACGGGTACAATTTTATCCATTAACAATCATAATTGCATTACCAACATTACCTTTTGCATATCTCATAACGAAACTGTTCAAAAGTGATATTCTCGTATGCATATTTTTATTTTTCATTTATCTTAATTTTCAGTCTGTAATTTATCTAGGCTGGACTATCGATGTTGTTTATACTAATGATTCTTCATTTAGTCAGTATTATTGTACCAATAATAATGTCATTGGTTAATAATGTAGTTCTTCAAAAACTAATCTATTGGTTATTGAATATTTTTTCACCCACTATCAATTCACAAGTTATAATAACGTATATATTAGCACAACAGAGTAAATTTTGTCGAACATTTTTCCATAGTGATTTTTCATTCTTTACACCGATTGGCAATGATACGATCGGATGGAACTGGATAATTCTTATTGTACATATTATTATTTTACTATTACTATTGATTGCTATTGACAGTGGATTATTGAAATTTTCATTTTCATGTTTCGTATATCCTCTACATTTTGATGAACATATCCTTGATAATGACGTTTTGACAGAACGTCATCGAGTTTTAAATTCAAACTATTTAACAGCAAATAAAAGTCTTCTAATGACAAATAATAGTGAAGAAGAGCATGAAATTGATCATTTAACAGTGAATGATCTTGTTAAGCGTTTTCCAGGTCGTAGCGTTTGCGCTGTAAATCATTTAACATTTGGTGTCAAACGTGGGGAATTATTTGGTTTACTTGGCTATAATGTAAGTCATATAGAAATGTATTATTCTATTTTAAACAGTCGAAAATCTAACTTATTAAATTAGGGTGCAGGCAAAACAACAACATTTCGTATACTTGTTGACGATGAACTAGCAACACAAGGCTCAGCATATATTGATGGTCAAAATGTTCATCATCGTCTAAGATCGATACGTCAATTAGGCTATTGCCCTCAAGAAAATGCTAGCATGAACTTTTTAACTGTCGAAGATAGTCTGTATTTACTAGCACGCATCCGTGGCATAACTTCTTTACGTACTACTTCAGTTGTTCAAACAATTAGTTCATTATTTTTGCTTGATCCATTCCTGAAAAATTATATTCATCAATTAAGTGGAGGAACTAAACGTCGATTACATGCTGCACTTGCCATGATCGGTAGAAAAACGAAAAGAAATTGTAGTTGATAATTAAAGAGACATGTTTCAATTACGCTTAGGACCACCATCAGTTGTAATTCTTGATGAACCAACAACTGGCGTTGATCCGTTTGCTCGACAACAAATGCAAGACATATTTCTCAATGCTGTTAAAGAAAAATTGACAATTATACTAACAAGTCACTCAATGGATGAATGGTAAAAATAAAAAAAGAATTACTTGCATCATTTTCTCAACTTTTTATTGTTCTCTAGTGAACGTGTGTGTGATCGTCTCGGTATTATGTATGATGGTCAATTAGCTTGTTTAGGTACAATTCAACATTTGAAGTCCAAATTTGGTCAAGGATATACGATTGAAATAAAAGTTCGTTCAACTCATGATGATGTAAATACAGCATCTATTCACAATGTTCAATCCCTTCTACTATCACAAACACAATGGCGCGTAGAAACTCAAGAAATAACATTTTTAACCGGCACATTTCAAATTCAACAAGGTACACCAGCAGATTTATTTGAGTTACTCGAGCAAAATAAAGAAAATCTGAATATTGAAACGTACACAATATCACAAACAACACTCGAACAAATATTTTTATCATTTGGTGAAAAACTATTAGATGCATCTCGCCATTGAACGATAAGTTTCAATTTTAATGACAAAATGTCTCTAGTAGTATTTTTTCCGAATTTGTTTTTGATTTATTCTATCTTATCAATTCAAGAGAAGAAAAACTCATCATTTTCTTATTTGCACGTGAACAAACTTTTACTGAATATTGCTTCGACATTTCGTTGCAATGGAAGCTGTTTTCCATTTAAGTACAAAAATTCCCCATCAATATCACGCTATCGTTTCTTTTCACTCATCATCAACCTTTAAACAAAGACTCCTTTACTTGTAAGGCTCTAAGCACTTGTTTGCCATTTTTAAGTTTAATCCCACGCTTGCATATCTATAATTTCAGTCGGCTTTATTGTTCCTACAGTTGAATAAGATTCCATAAAACAAATCAGATAAAGGATGACGGTTAGAAGACAGCGGGAGATCGAAAATGTGTCGGGATATCAGAAATTTCACCAACAATCGTAGCGAAGAAATGTTCAGCTTGTTCACCACGAAATGCATGTTGCACACCCATACCTTTCTTTATGTCCTCCATTTTGAGATTCTGTCGACTTTTCCAATCAGTACGTTGCATGTAAAAATCATGATCCATACGTTGCAAATGAAACAATAAAAGATTCTCATCCCTAAATATATGAACATGTACATTTTATTCTTTCATAAAACAGAATGCTCACTGAATTGAAGATTCCTGACAAGTGTGGAACCCAGGTTGCCAATGTACCGGTCGATTTGTCAAGAGAGGTTTATCATACATGCTGTGTCGCATTCGAAAGCGACGTTGTTGAAGAATTGACTCATTCAGTTTCAGTTTCGGCTCCAAAGCCACATTGTGACGTACATCGTATGCTTTAACACGAACAATTGACTGATTTGTTCTATTGATGTAATCATACAAACCAAGCGGATATTTTAACGGATCAGGCACAACCATTTCGTCAATTTCAGTAAACAAAACGTACTTGTATCCACTTTTCAACAATTCTTGCACCTGATTTTGAACAGTTTCAATCAACCAATAGTGATCAAAATACGCGTCGGAGTGGACACGAATTACGTTTACTGTCAATCTTGATGTCGATCCATCGCTACTATCGTTGTCTAAAATATAAATATCCTCATCAGGAAAATACTGACGGTAATATTTAAGCCAAATGGGTAAATAGCCAGGCTCCGTTCGACAAATGGTGAGTACAGCGAATCGACCGCGTGAAGTCTTTCGACGATTTTTCCGACTGGGTTGAAAATGACTTTTACTTCGTTGAGCTCGATTCCATTGTTCAATCCAGATTTCCATCGCTCGAGCAAGTCGACCAAAGTATTCATTCAGACGGCTTAAATTCTTACGAATCATCTGAGACAACTCCAAATAACAGGCTTGTGGTGTTGTAGCAGACGATGAGAAACGTACTCGCTGAAAGAAATCAATGATATCTTCTTGCCAAAAGAGTCCCATATATTCTTTCTTTAGGTTCGTGAATGGATTCGATGCTTTATTATGTCTCACATAGGGTGCTCCAGTTTTTACACCAAGACCAAGATGATCTGCCACCACCTTACTTGCCCAACCAGCAAACATATCATCGTATCGAGCCCATGGCATACCGATACCAGATAGGCCTTGCATGAAAGCTGGTCCAATTAATTCACGATTGAAAGCTACGTTCATAGAACACATTGGATATAGAACACCAGCAGGCACGGTTACAGTTATGTCGGCGAGAAGTGTATTACGTTCGTCGACTTTGAGTAATTGAGTCGGTGCATCATAGTCTGGAGCATTCAACCAGATGCCATGAGAAATCGCCGTCGGTACACCTCTTCTCAAACTATACGGATATCCACGAACGAAATCTGCACCATCACGATATGGATCATACAATGTATTGAAAAAATATGGAGTTGAGTTCGTAACTAGATTCTGAATATGTCTCGATAAAACATTAATGTGACTTCCGTTCGCGTCCTTAGCTGGTAAACAGTCATCGTCGATGGTATAAATGAAAGTTTTATTCGAAACTAGAAATCCAAAGTTTCGAATCGATGCATCTTGTGTACTGATGATCCATTGCTTATCTTTGCCTAAAGCTGTCTCTATATCACGTCGATTGTATAGTTCATAGTCAGCCCATGATGGAATTCGTAAAAATTTTTCTGGATCGCCATCTTGAATGATGATCAAATGAAAGTGTTGGAAAAAAGGTTTCCAATCTTCGAGAAAATCAAGATCTCGAATAGATGGTATTACAATATCGACGTCATTATAATAGTTGCTTAGATTAAATTGTGATTTCTTTCGAATAAAATGAAACTGATTCATGCATTCTGGATGAACGAAATTCGATGTGTTCGAGTTCCAACCACATTCTTGTTCAAGCTGTTTAACGGCTAAAAGGAGAGAACTCATTTCAGAGAGGACAACAAGGGAAGAAAGCATTCTAATGTCTATTGTTTCAATATGGCTTTCGATGTACATTCGTGATTTTCAGTTTTATCAATGATCATATTCAAACCGTTGAAAAGCTTTTTTTTTCAGTTAAACGAGATGGTGGAAATTATTAGTAGAGTAGAAAAATCAAATGGAAATATACAAGAAAGTTCAAATACCTTTTTCGGCACCATAGAAAGTAGTAGCTTGCGCATCCACACCACCATATTTATCTGTGAGAGTTGCTCGTATTTTCTTTGGAATTCCTGATCCACTGGTACCCGAAATACTATTAACGTCATCAAAGTATTCCAAACTAGCAGCGCTCAACTTCGTTTTCCGATAATACTCTATGTTGTTAGTTGTTTCGACCAAATTTAATTTTGGTAATATGTAGCGATAATGAAAACTTTTCAAGTAAATATAGGTTATACTAAACCCCACTAATAATGTGATGATAATGTATGATAGGCGAAAGTTTTTCGGTTTGGAAAAAATCGAAGGTTCTGTTTGAAGTGGAGTAGTTTCGAGGTCCATCTAAAATGAATCATTATGAAACGATTCATAAGTCCCAAAACAATTAGTGTTTAGCAACATTTACCCAGTTAGTATGAAAATAAAAATCTATGGTTTTTCATTTCCAACGTGTGATAGAAGTACTCAAGAAGTTGAAGCAGCATTATTTGCTTTCAACTTTGATATAAAAAACGTGCATGCAGAAAATGTTTGTACCTTTAATAAAGTGGTTCTTCTGACTGGAGCAAAATGCATTCTTTTGTTTTTTCACTTTCGAACGATACTCTGCAAAATCATCCCTGCTTGATTCCGATCATGTGTTCCGTGTATCCTTTTTTGAGAGACTCTGAGAAGAACAATCATGAACAATTCTGTAAGAACAACAAATACTGAAAAATCGCAAATTCAATTATTTTTATTCATGAGATGTTTCGTTTTTTTGGTACCTAAAAAAACAATACATCTGCATATGCATAACATTCTTTCTATATGCACACTTTTATTGTGGTATGTTTGTTACTTACATACAATTTGAAATTTTAATTGAGATATTGAATAGAAGAAGTTGCCTAGGTAACTGACTGTTTAAAGTTGTACGACGGTTTGGCAGCGATGCATTTCTTCTCCTTTCTTGAAAAGGTACACATAAGTATCAATATGTAGTAGTTTACGATGCATGCTATTCAACAAGCATATGCTGCAGATTCTTCCACGACATAGTCTGAAAAACTGTTTCTAACTTAGAATGAAATGTATCAGTCAATTTGTTTCTATCCAAGAATGTAACAAAAAATTTCAGCTTAATTGGTATCAGTGATATCATTCTTAGAACTCTACATAAGCATGATTTAGGATCTGACGTCACAATCCAATCAAGAATTAATCGAGAAGAGTCTTTTAAAAAGTCTGAAAACTTTTACGTGCATATGAATGTACAAAAGAAAACAGCTAATAGAAATTCAACAAAAACGTAAGGAGTCCTATAAACTACGATACAAGTAACTAGGACACAATAACTGACTTTGCATTAATGTGGTGTATTCTACTTTAGTTTGTATACGACTCATACTCATGTTAGTATACACACACAATAGTTTATTTATATGTTAAATTTGTCTGGTACCGACCTATGTCAACGATATGATGTGTTATCTTTTCTTCACACAGATCTGTGGTGACTGTCTTTTGAATATTGGCTTACTTCAAGTGACGTAGAAATAATACATTGAACGAATGGTCAGCTCGCCAGAATGACTATTTGTGAGATAATTGTTTTAATACAACTGGATATAAGCTACAAGAACACAACATATTGTCCATTTGAACAATGCATGCGGACTCATTCAATATAGACAGAGTTCAAGATATCCGTAGGATGATTTCTTCTCAAGACAAAAGTCGCATATAACGATAAATATGGCCCTTGCTGGTTGATGTATAGGACAAACTGGATAGAGGTGGATTAGCTTAGTGCCACTCTAGGCAATGATGTTTATTCGCTTTTTCACATATCCAGAGTGTAACAACTTCATACATAACACACGTATATATAGAAGAGAGACAGAAGAGCGATATATATATTATAACAATGGCAAGAGAACAGAAGGAAGAGGAAGAGAATGGGGATATAATTTATGGTCAGTAAAATAAATGAAACGGTCAGTAAGTTAAATAACTATAAAATCAGTAAAATAAATGATTGGTTAGTAAATTACTTATATGATCAGTTACAAATTAATGAGGTTTGTAAATAAATTTAAAGATCAGTAAAAATATTTTTTTGACAGTCAATTTTTCTAAGGGGTCAGTATAAAAATTAGAACAGCATTAGAGTGAATCACATTTGCTCTGCCTTCTTTTTTCTCTCAGCTGTTCTATATACTATATTCACATTATTCTGTCCTTGTTCTTTCTTTAACCTTTATTTTGTGAATAAGAAGGATCCTTTTTTTAATTCTATTTCTTATTCATTATCTAAGATAAAACAAGAGAACCCTCTCGATATCTTGTATAGTCGTTGTCTTTCTCCATGTTCATGTATAGATATTTAATAGTTTTCAAATAAAAATAACATATTTAAACGTTTATAAAAACTGAGACATTTTAACTATGCGAGTGATTCAAATTGCTCAATATGAAAACGATATATCAGATGAAGGGGTGGTGGAAGAAGATTATAAAATACGTGGAAATAAATGAACCATTGAAAAAAAGAGGTCAACTAGTTGGATTAAAAGATACACCTGATAATGCCGATAAAGCAGAAGCATCAATTGAAAATCAATTGTCAAAACATTACACACACTATACAGAAGATGGGATAAAAGTATATTAGAGATCCAAAAAAGCTAAACGTCGTGATCATCAATGTTTTTCTGAGGTGACTCTTTTTCGCATTCTTGACCTGTAGAGGCTTGAAGATTTGCCCATAGCGCAAAATTTCTTGTTCCAGAAGCGCAAGAAACTGATGCACATTAGCAAGACGGTTTCAGTAGGGCTTTCAGTATTTATCTATTATATCATGCAGATCATGATAGAGTAACCGTGTATGAAACGGAAGCTGAATACGAACATCACGATGACGCATTTTGAGGTGTTGGTGAAGTTGTTAAAAATTAAATAGAAGATTTATTTAAACTTAATCTCTACTGGTAAAGCTTATTTTTTTACTGGTTAATTTTGTATTTATTACTGACCAAATTCTTAATTTTTACTGATATGAATTGAAATGTTTTACTGCTACTTACATTAATAAACTGACCATTTTAGAATTAATTACTGATCATTTTAGTACAAGGGGGAAACGGCAGACTTTTGTACTTCAAGTACTTTGCGCCACTTTGTGCTACTTTAGGCTACTTTAGGCTACTTTGCGCTACTTTAAGCTTACTTCAAGTAGAGTACTTTGAAGTACTTTTCAACTTCAAGTCTGCCGTTTCCCCCTTGTTTTAGTATCTGACCGTTCAATATTTATACTGACCATTTCCATACTTTTTTACTGGCCAATTCATTTATTTTACTGACCAGTTAAATGGTAGCCTATACTTATTAGATGGAAACAAAGAGAATTTTCAGGAAACCCGAAAACAACTGTTATGGGACTAATTTAATTCAGTTTCATCTACATATGAAAAACATTACTCACGATTTTGAGAAGAATAAGACAAGA